GAACCTGGCTGCATGCAAGCTTGCTTAGGTCCTGTTGTGTCTGTACCTCCTCCTGAGGAAGTCTGGCTTGAAGTTGGCAAATCCAGAGTAGGGAGGTTCTTGCAAAAAAGGATGCGCAGGTGGCGGCTCTTACCGCCCATGCCACGCTTGGTGGGTCCTGCGGAATGTGAGCTCCCACTTCTTGTCCTCGCACTTCAATACCTCTGCCATGTCTCCCGACACTGCAGACGGAGAAAAGAGGAAGCCAAAGGGCTCATCTACCTTTGGTACCTCGAGGTCCTCTGACTGTTCTGGTGTTGTACTGAACAACTTCTTGTCTGTTCCCCCCCAGTATGGGGAAGGTGTCCGGTGAAGTCCATTGCTTCTTAATGGTACTTTGGAAGAGTGTCTGATAGGAGACGTGGTGCTGAGCTACCACGGTTTCTAAAAACAATGGATCTGAGCCGAGCGGTGGTTCTGGCTGAGGGATATGGTCCGGGCCAATGTTTGCCATTGAGCTGGCTCTGTGGAGCAGAGGCAGGAAAAAGGCAGGGTTGAATACCCCTCCGAATGGAGGGTCTGGAGGAGGGTCCTCCTCCTCCCACCATGACATGTCATGTTGGTTGTCCTCTGTGGGGGAGGATTCCCTGCTGTGGAAGAACTGTGACGGAGAGGGGGAATCCTGATATGCGTCATGCCCTGTTTGGGACTTGGATGAGGGCATGGCCATCACGGATTTGGTTCTCGTTACGTGGTTAGTCCTAGCCGCCATCATCCTGAGGAACGTCCGCTCAATTAAAGTTTGTAGACGATCCTTGGAGGGGTTGGACTTGGACTCTGCCCCCAAGTCCTGCCGCTGTGGGTGTGAACGTGGCCTCAGGTATGGATTGTGCGGCCCATGGAGTCAGTGGACCTACCTCAGAGGCCTGGAAGGACCCCTCCGCGAACATACTCCTTGGTTGAAAGGTTCCAAGGGAAGGTCAAAGGATGTTTCCTCTATTTGCTCCACTTTTACCTTGGCTTGCTTTTGTACCTTAGAGAATTCCCTCTCCAGAGCCTGGTGCCTTCTGCTAGCCTGTTTCTCAGTCAACTTGGAAGGTTTTCTTCCAGAAATGGACTTGGCCTTTGCTTTGATCCTGCCTACTGCCTCCTGTTTGGAGGATTTTTGTCTTTTGAGGCTGGTGGGAGGGGAGGCGATGCTCAAGGGCTGAGGCACCGTGGACTCCTCCATCCTAGGTGAGCTATCTCAGTGACCCTAGAGGGAGCTCCGGCAGGGGATCAGTTGGCGAGATGGGCAAGCAGGTGTAGCAGGGAATGGTCGTCCCACTCTCCTGACCGCCTGACCGGTAAAGAGATCACTGCTGTCCCACCCCTTTGCGGTCTGGCCCTTCTTACGTCCACTCAGTTTCAGCGAATGGGGCTGAAATAATGAGGAGGTGCAGTCAGGGTAGTGGGTGCACCAGGGTTGACAAACTATTGAGGGTGGCTATTGCTATTATCAGACTTTTTTAAAAAAAATATTTATTTATTTATTTATCTATTAATTTATTTACTCATTTATGTCTAAGTAAAAACCGGTGTTGTTTGGTGGGAACGGATGTTAAGGGGGGGAGGTTAGGTTGCAGCCTGGCATGAGATCGTTATTATGGCTCAAGCATCCACATGTTTCTCCCTTCTCTTATTTGGCATAAAAAGGGGAGGACAAAGGAATGAAGGAGAGTGTTTGTTCGTTCCCGTGGAGACTTAGATCCCCATAAGAGCCTATGCTTGTTGGATCTCCGTGCCTGTCCCGGTAATCCGCAGAAAAAAATGACGGCCAGGATGATTCTGTGTGATTGAAAGGGAAATGGAACGCTTTTGTGTCCCTGTGCCTTCTGGTCTATTTGGCGGGAGATTTGAAGATGGGAGCAGGAAGACAGAAGTTCCTCCTGTGGTCTCCACGCGCTCAAAATGGTGATTGGGGCAACCTGGCGTGGCAGCGAGGGCTGTATGGCTCGAGGGTTGACTGTTGCTCGCTGAGTAAAAAAAAACCACTCGGCAAGAGTCTCAATGGCTTGTTAGCTTGGAAACCCGCCGGAATAATTTCAGAAGCCGCAGCAGCCACTCAGCTGCCTCTCCTTGCTTAACTAAGGCAGAGAGACCAACAGAGGAATCCCCACCTCCTTCTGGAGACGCATGAGGTTCCGGCTGCAGCGTTGGACCCAACGCTGATCAGCTGCTGAGAGAGTCCCCCTTTGGTGGATGCGTGCGAGAGATTTAAACCTCAGAGCGAGCCTCAGGGCTCCACCTGCAGCATTGGACCCAAAGCTGATCGGCTGAAAGGGATTTCCCTTGGGAGGGTCATCCTGAATCTGTCCAGCTGAGCCCCAGTCCTGGGGAGAGAAGGAACCTCCTTCCCCAAGACTTTCCACAGGCTTACTCATACAGCGCTGGTCCCACCGCTGTTGGAGGTAGCTGTGGTATGGGATAGATAGAATCCACCAATATTTTATCTCTATTACCTGCCTTAGACCGGGAGTCAATCTTAGCACGTCCACCTGGACTGAAGACCGAGTCAAGAAATGGAGAGTGGTTACCCCAGGATGGGCGTGACAAGTTGGCTGACCCGGTCTAATCGGCAGGCAGGCAGAGTTAACCCATTGGTGGATTCTACGTCTCCAGTGCTGGAGAAGATTCTCTTGAACAACCTGGTATGCGTTTCAGTAGCAAATAATTGAAGAAACCTCTGCTTCTACAAATGTCTGTGTGTTCAGTTCTCTACTGTTCCATTTTCAGTAACAAATCCTATGGTTCTAAACTGTCTGTCTTTTCCTTATAAACAGGAAAACTAAGTGGAAGGTGACATAAAGTATGTATTATATGCTGGCCTTCCATTCAAATGTTTGGAACCAACTTTTTTTTCTTATTGCATTTTCTTTCCTATTGATGGATTGGAAGTATCTCAATGCTCACTATCAACTCTGTGTTAGGTAAGGCAATTACATCCTCTGAGAGTTCCAAGAAACTGTTGTTTTGTTCATTTCCTGGTCTTGAAAGTTTCTGCAATTTCTCCCTTAATTATAAAATGTTAATTTAAGCCTTAAGCATAAGGATAGCAGTTTTTGCTATGTGATTATAGAGTATGATTTTGTTAAACTCACACACAGTACACATATTATAAGTATAAAAGTCTAAAATCTTCTTAGGTCTGTATATCCTGCTATATAAGCCTAATAAACTTGATTTCAGATTTATCAAATTTACACCAATATTCAACTCATGAAATAGTGAATAAGAATGGAATGCTAAATGCTTCAAATTCCAACATTGTTCTTAGTTTGAAACTTAGTTTCCAACTTCCAAGATAAAAACAGAGGTATTCAGAATAGAACAGAAAAATCCCTAAAATGATTAGAATAAACCATTTCAAGCAATCATTGATACACCCTTAGTTGAGAATATTGGATAATTTTACATTAATTTGCACAATTCAAAACAATTATTATATTCATACTGTACAATTTTCTATTTTCAAGATTCAAGGATTTCAAGGAACACAAGAGTCTGCACTGATAATACACTACACTTGAAATATCAAGCAAGTGTCTGTAAATTAATAGCATATTTCAGTTGCATACAGATCATTGTAAAGTGCAGTAAAAATATTCTGCACAAAAAAGAGTTTGGTATGATAATCTTAATTAACTTCTAAGAACTAAGCTGTGATAAGCATTTGTAAGGGATTCAGATAAATAATACCTCAAAACTATCTTAGTGAAATCAATGGTGCAAGTTATCTATGTGTAATTTCCATTGATTTCAATAAATTTACTCTAAATATGATCCCATCAGATTCAACCCTATAAAATAGGTATGATTTTGTGTATGTTATTTAATTATGAATTAATGTAAACAACTAAGACAATTCCTTTTCCACTGAATCAATGGCTCAGCATATCACATTATTATGTAGTTTAGGACAATTTCAATTGTCCTATTTCAATTACTGTAAGTCTTTTAAAGCCACTGTGTTAACTACAAAGCAACAAAATGTTATTCTCCAAGACTATCCAAGATTATATCAGCTTATTCTGCAATGTTATTAAAATGAGAAAGAACAGCTATTTGTAGGAATAATATCAAGAGAAACACACAGGGATTGTTTTTCATACTAAAGCAGCAAGTATTATCTCTGTTCATATAATAAACTTTAACCACTGTTCCGTGAAAAATGTAGGCTTCACAATGTGAAGATAAAGTATGCCTGGGTTCACCAATTAATTTACACTATGGTTAAATATATTGTGTAAACTAGACCAGGGATCCCCAACCCCCCGGGCCGTGAACCGGAATCAGGCCACACACCTGGTGTGTGGAAAAATTTGTCTTCCACAAAACCAGTTCCCTGGTGCCAAAAAGGTTGGGACCACTGAACTAGACCACTGTATGCATCTAACGTATTTCTAATTAAATTATTCATTTTGAAATGCTTATCTAACAACTAAATTTCCTAAATATATTTATTAGAAGGAAGCAAGTCCCATAGAGTTCAAGTAATATAAATCCATGCATATAAAGGAAAGCCTTAGATACAATCCCATTGGAAGATGTCGTAGGAGCAATAAAATATTGTAGTTGTCATCAATGAAGCTATGGTGGAAGTTTTCTTCAGAATGGACCCATCTGGATTGTGACAAAGGAACTGTGATGTCAGGGGCACACTGGAAGAAGCTTTAGATTCTCCCATGTGATATAGTGTCCAATATATGCTATCCCGAGTGATTTTTATTTTTTCCTTAATTATCCCTTCTTTTTCCTTAATTACCCCTTTTACTAAATCCAGCAGAATCTTAGACAGCATTAAGTAGAAAAGAGCAAATTGGAATGACATGATTTCTCTTTCCCTTTCTTACATAAAATTCTTCTAAAAGTAAAGCTATTGACCCTGATGATACATTTAATATGTACAAGTAGTCCGCAACCTATAATTGGGACCAGAATTTCTGTTGCTAAACTAGAGAATTTAAGTGAGTTGTGCCTGATTTTTTTTTTTTTTTTTTTTTTTTTTTTTGATCTTTTGGCCACACCAAAGTTAAGGGAATCATGCAGTAGTCAAGACATTATGCTAATTTCATTTCTTCCATTGACTTGGCTGAAGGTTGGTCAGAAGGTCGCAAATGATGGTTGCATGACCTCAAGACAGCACAACTGTTGGCAACTGCCTGCTAGTAGTTGCCAATACCCAAATTTTGATGTGATGGTGAGGATGCTGCAATGGCTGTAAGTGAAGACTGGTTATAAGTCACTTTTTTCACTGCTGTTTTAACTTCAAACAGTGCTAAACAAATGGCTGTAAGCTGAGGATTACCTGTACAAGGCTGTTTTCAAGCATAATGGCAAAATAAAGCCTTTTTAATCAAAACTGCTATCTACCCAATTTTTATATATATGCATGGTACAAAAATAACATTTCAATGTAATTCTAACCACCACAGCAAGTTTTAAAACTAATGAAGAGTTCCCAAAATTATGTAAACATTTATGATTTACAGTTAAGAATTCCCAAATAGGTTTTTAAAGATGTTTTTGTACCTGTTTTGCCCATCACTGTTCTAAAAGAATAACATAGCTTGATGCCACTGTGCAGCTGTTTTTATATAAATATAGCTATTATGCTTTCAAACAGTACTATTTACATTGATGCACAAGTAAAGTTTTCAAATAATTTTTAAAAAGTAGCATAGAAAATATTCAGGTGATTATGATTCCTAGGCTTTTATTATATAGTACTAATAAGTAACATGTAAACACAGCCATGAGAGCATACAAACTGAAACCATGAATAAACGTTTTATTTCCCAAAGTATTTTGAACTGAAAAATAGCAGACTATTATATTCAGAATTGGGAACAAACAAAATCTGAGAAACTGAATATATGCTTGCTAAAACAAGAATAAAGTTTATTTAGCTAGTGAATCACTTTGAGGAATAAATTTTCACTTCCATGATAGCAATCTTTTCAGGTTTGCAAACACCCAGAAATAGGAATTAAAGATTTTAAGTGTTGTTATAAAGTCATAAAAAGTCTGATTTAGACTGAGGTACATGTACTCAAAATTGAGTTTGAGTGTAGCAAACAAACATTTCCTCAGACAAACACACTTCTTCTGGTATACATATTACGGGGGGGGGGGGGGAAGAAATGTGCATTAACTGGTGCGGCCCACCAAGCTGCATATATTAATATTCTCTACACCAAACAGTTTGAAACAAAGGAAATGACATTCTAATATAATTTCATGTTATAATTCTTTTGGCTAAACTGTAGCTCAAAGTTGCTTTGCCATATTAAAAGTTTACTACAATAATTTTCACATGAACATTTAGACTTGAATTTTACTCCAGGACTAAATATGGCATGATTTTGCTTGAAATTCTGCTGAATAGCTAAAAAAACTGACAATTAAAAAACTACATCAAAGAAAAATAAATTGAAGCAATGTGAATCTCACATCATTGAACCACTTATGATGGTTAATTGTTAGTATTTAACAAATTCAAAGAGTTAATGAATCCTTGCATTCGTTCCATCTCCTGTGCCTTAGCTAGGATGCATAATTACAAAAGACAGCAGATACTGGTAAAAGCTTCAGGACAGAAAGTGCTTGACGAAGTTACAGTTCTCAAGTGTGTTTGGTGAGAGAGTATAAGGGCAGATGCACTGATGAGAACCATTACAAGAAGAGTCAATTTTGTGTTAAAGTGTTCAAAGATGTCACCTTAAGCAGGACCAAAGCTTTAATAACGTCTTCTTAGACATATTAGGCATTTCCAGAGTCTACATCATTAGTGTTGTAATTCTAGCAGGATCGTCTCCATATAGTTATTGTTTGTTTCTATTCCTCTCCTGCAGGACAGAAAAAAAAGGAAAATTATTAAAGCAGTCATAAAATACTTAAGTTCTATGCAGTGGAGCACACCACCAACTCTTCAATTATAAGTGATTCATAAAAGCAAACTGTAAGCTTTATAAAAATATGAAAGCAATTACTTTGGTAAAAAAAATCATTTTTCAATCCTGTAGTTTGAACTTATGTTAGTTGTTTAGAAAATTCCATACAAGAGTTTAAGAAAAATAAGCATGCCATAGTATTTTATTAAAGCCATAAACCACACTTCCATTTTATATCACTTTAATTTTCTGTATAGGCCTAAGACCATGATAGTATTCATTATTATATTATCAAATTAGGGCCATGAGTCATAGTATGAATAAAATATTTATCCCTACTCTCTTTCAAGTTAAACAGAACATCAGAGTACAGGGCAAAACCCTTTGCTATAACCATTAACTTTTTTAATATGAATCCTTAAAATAACAAAATCATCTTAATTATGTTGAAAACATGTTAACAGTCTAATTCTTTTGGGGTGAAGGGGTCTTTTAAATTCAGACATTTTTTTTCATATAACACAATAGCTGAACCAATCCAATATAAGGTTGCATGTTTTGATCAAGGGTACTTCTCTTCATAATACTGCACATGTTAAGAGTCTACTCTAAAGTAGACTCTGTCCTTGATCAGGTCATGTGGAAGTTACTGCGGCTGGATCCAGTTTGGCTATCTGAGGCAAGTTTGAGTCCATTGGGCCTGAGGAAATGGACACAGTCCTTGGGAGTTATTATGCAGCACTTCTGTGTTAGTTCCATGTATCTCCTGGCTGGTTAAAACCTCCAGGGAAAGGATACGTGGTTGGGGTCTGGCAATAGTTAATTTCTCTCTGAGGGAGGTGGGTAGTTCTGCTGTCTCAAGGGACCATCGCTAAACCCAACCGCAGCAAGATTATTGTATACACAAAGATGGAAAGATCTGGCAATACCTACAGTTGAGGAGTGGTAGGCGAAGATGATAAAAACTTGTTGAGATGGCCAAATTGACCTGTTTGATTAGAGAAAAGATAATACCTATATTTATTGCAGATTGAAAATCCCTTATGGATTTTTGTGTCAAACAGAAAAAAAAATATCTCTGTTTTTGACCATTAGAATAAATTATAGAAAGAAGAGACGCACAATGTAAATTTAGAAAAGAGGTAAATCTACAATTGTACTTATAACTGCTTTAAAGAAAATAGAAAACCACTACTTTATATCTTTTTTTTTACTTTTTTAATTTTCTTCTTTCTTTTTGCATGTTAGCTTTTTTATTCTTTTTTTCTTATTCTGTTTTAGTTTGTATTAATTTTTACTCAATAAAGTATTAGAAGATAGGGTACATCACTAAACCCCACCATTCCGAATAATTTTTGTCCAGTTTTCATATTTCCCTTTCTAAGGAAGGTTGTAGAGAAAGTGGTTGGTTGCGTTGGTAATTCAGAGGAGATGGGAGATGTTGGTTCTCTTCCTTCCTCCAGGGTCAGTCTCAGTTGATATTGGCAGGAGGAAGAGATCCAGTGGTGGGGGCACCTCCTTTGTGGAGCACCTCAGGGATCGGATATCATCTCTCTTCTCTTGATTAACGTATGTGAAATTGGATGTCATCTGACAGTTTGGGGTGAGCTTTATATTTCTACCCAAGGATGCCTAAGTAATGTCCTGGAGGTTCTGTTTCAGGGCCTGGAGGATGTGGTGATCTGGATTGGCACAAAAGCCTTTAGCTCAACTCAAGCAAGACTCAGTGGCTCTGATATTTTGGATCTCCTAGTTTGTGAGTCCTTCCATCATTGGTTCTGTGCCAACTGGGGGTTCTCCTGGATTCACAGTTCCTTCTTGAAAAATAATAGAAAGCCATGGTTAAGAGGGCCTCTGCACAGCTTATGGCTCATTATTAGTTGCACACATTCCTGCACCAGAAGGGTGTCTGCCCATGGTCACTCATGTTCTTTTGACCTCCAGATTGGACTACTCCGATGTTACTCTACCCTTGAAGAATATTTGGAAGATTCAACTGGTGCAAAATGCAGTATCACAGGAAGTTACTAGTGTCAGTTACTTGGCACATATGACAAGTGGCACATGTGACAAGTGGCATTCTGTAAACTGCATCAGCTTCCAATGTGCTTCCGCAATTCCTGCAATTCAAGGTTCTGGTTATCACCTTTAAAGCTCTTTGTGCCCCAATTGTTTCTATTGGTTCTGTCTGAAGGCATGCTCAGGATACTGTCACCTAGGTGGGACCCAGAAGGAGAACATTTTCTGTTGTGGCACTTGCCCTTTGGGATATCATTCCCTCTAAGATTAGACTGTCCCTGTTGGCTTTTTGTAAGGCTTTAATATATTGGATTTGTGCCTGAAACCTGGGTTTCTGGGCATGGGTTAGAGCCTATATCCTGGCCTTAATGATAATAAGTTAAAGCATGCCTGATTGCTGTGTGTTAATATATAGTTTGTATTTTTGTTTATTTTATTGTAAGATATTGAGATGAGTAATTATATAAATGACTAAACAAATAAATAAATAAAACCCCATTCCCAAATAAAGCTATTCAGCAAGTTAGAGGGGACCCGGATCCATTCTGTGGTAAATAGAATTAGTCTGTTAGATACAATTCCAAATTTTTCATTTGCAAAGTTGATGGGAAAACTTCCAGAGATAAGCTTTAGGATTCCCTCGGTGATAAAGTCTTGAAGTTTTTCTGTGTTTCCTGTAGATATTGAATATCTTACAACATAATTCATAATATGAAGCACTGACAGAGCTTTTTATAACTTTTTATAATTTTTTTTGAGGAGGAAAAAACCCTTCAATAGTAAATTCTACCATGATACACGCTGCAAAAATACAACAGGGAAACAATATGTTATCCTGTGAATATCTAATTCTATATTCTGCTTAAATAGAGTTTTTTATAACTTTTTATAATTATTTTTGAGGAGGAAAAAACCCTTCAAGAGAAATTCTACCATGATACACGCTGCAAAAATACAACAGGGAAACAATATGCTATCCTGTGAATATCTAATTCTATATTCTGCTTAAATTTACAGTCTGTTATATGAAACATGGTTACAGGATGTCAAATAAAAATCAGTATTTTCATATGGACGTTCACATAGTGCAATCTGTTGTGCATTTATAATTTCAGTAGATTAGCCTAACTTTATTGCATAATTTACTCATATTGAACAAAACTTAGTCAATACATGATTTTTAGTAAAACTGCCTAGATTGCAACTGTTAACCAAGTATTTTATTAAGCATTTTTCAATCATGAATAAGGGTTTCTTTCAATTATGTATATAAGACACAGTTAATTTTTTACTCAGCAACATAGATATAGATGATACCAAATATTATATTTTCCTATACAGCAATTTAAAAGCTTAAAGATGTATGTTTTAATAGATTGATATTCAAAAAGTGGCATTCTACAAAAAAGCTTCTCATTCCAAAGGACCATTTGTGAGTTAGCAAAACAATGGGAAAAAGCAAGTTCCATCTCAACCACATATTCAGAAAAACTATTTGTACAAGGTTTCTTTTCAAGACCTATTTTATTTTCTCAAAGCCCTGAATTCTTATTTTCATTATGCATCAAAATTATTCAGAGCACTTATCTGCAAACTGAAATACCTCTTAGTTGGAAGGCAAAATAACCAAAGATCCTCCTTCCCCTGTAGCCTCCCAAAATCTGGAAATGCAGGGATCATCTATGAAAATAAGGTACCGTAAATGCTGGCGTACAAGGCGACCCGGCGTATAAGATGACCCCCGTCTTTATAGCTGGGCCGCATTCCTAGAACGTCGTCTTATACGCCGGAAACTACCAGTATTTCCGGCGTATAAGACGACTCGGCGTATAAGACGACCCCCGTCTTTGGCGCCGATTTCAGCGCTCGCGGAAGTTGCCTTATACGCCGGCATTTACGGTACATGGAGAAGAAGGAATCCACGAAAATAATCAATGATCTATCCCTTATTTACAATGAGGAATTTCCTCTACCAGTACAAGGACACCTTTAATTCTGGATTCAGTCTTTTTTTATTCACAGCACAGCATTTAGCACAACCAACTGCACAAAGTTCTGCTTCTGCTACCAATAAACCAGACTGGTCAGTTTTTAAGAAACAAATATATGATGACATGATTGGTTTGGTCTTCAATAATTAAATATTTGGCTTAACAAATGTAACACAGTATATTCCACCTAATGCATATGGAAAGCATCTAAAAAATAACAATTTAATTAGAAGATTTTAGTTCAAACTTTTATTAGGCTGTTCTAAAAATTGGGAAAATTAAGCTAAGTATTATTATTACTTCATATTGTTAATTCATTTAGAATATTAATAAGAATCCCAATTTAACACTGTTTGGCTTTTACAATGATGATCTGCAATCACCAACGTCCATGAGGAGAGTATATCAAAAAAGGCATAATAGCAGTTGCAGCAGGATGATTGAAGCCCCTCTCCCTTTATCATGCATGCAATGCTGTCACACATACAAAAGAGGCAGAGCATTGATCACATTGCTACTACCGGTAGTATCATCTTGCCTATCTTGACCTCCCTCACTTCCCCCGTGGATACTGGTCTTCTCTAAAATAATTCCAGTTAATAACCATCAGTTTGTGAATAGCTTCTATCAATCCTTCCACTGACAAATATAATTGCAAAGCAATATAGTTTATTCAGAATTTCCACTTGCTATGATTATTTTTAACTAAGGAATTAAGTTACTTATCTTTTAAATTATATCTAGTTTAAGAAAATATTCAGCTCTAATATCTTTCAGGTGTGTTTGATGGTTCACATTTCCTTTCTAAATGACCAAAATCATGGCTAACTGAAATTTGTGATACATTATTCTGGTTAAGTACTTATCTATTATTTCCATACTTAAAAGCTTATTTTATCATTTAATGAATACAATATTTCTCAACAGGTTAGCTTATTATTAAATGTTATTTTTCAGTAGTAAATGGACTTACAGTAGCTAAAGCATTATGCATTGTCAGCAATTTCTCTGTTACTGATATTCTAATATTTTTCCAAGCTTTTAAACGAGTATCAATTGAAAAAATATGAAGTTTGGCAAGGAGATTCAAGTCCTGTCTGGGGCTTATATTCAATTTTTTTTTTTCAAAATTCCTAATGGACAACAACCCTTTATTCACCTTTCTATTGCAAAAAGCAATAGAGAAGTTTCTTGTTATACATTATCCTATAATGGTTACATTATGTAATAAGAATCAGCACTGGGTTGGATTTAATTAAGCACATACAATATAAGCTTTGGTTTATCACACTAAGAGACATTTTATAAGGAATATTTCACAATATAGCAATTAACATAAAAGTGCAAACATTAAACTATATTTTCAAGATTCTATTACACTACTTTATATATACATAATGTAATAGTAGTCTAATATTTTAAAATATACATATTTAGTAGATAGATGGTTTATTTCTTATTCATTTTATTTACATGTTATCCATTCTCAAAGGCTCCAGGTGGTTAAAAATAACTCTGAAACACATTTAAAAATATAAAGGCAAAAAGATAAAATCTCAAAAATAAAAATTTCATACATCCATGAATCCCACTTTCAATTACAGTATACCCTCCTCTTGTGCAAAGTGGAACAGGTAGATCTTTACAATTTTCTAAAGCCTCAAAGCAACAAAACTGGTGTTATTTGCTGTTGGGAAGGAGTTCCAAAGCATGGGATAGGATAGGCTATTCAAGATACCCATTTCCAAGACTCCGTCAGGTGACAATCTCATAGGAATGAGCTCCACCTCACAGGAAGACTTTATTCTTGAAGAGGCTTCAGAACAAGCAAGCATACCCCCCATTGTTGTACGATTTTCAGAGGCTCCAGAGCCTGCTGGTCACTGGGCCCCGGGAGAGGCTGCTCAGTGTGCACACGTGTGCATGCGCATGCACCCACTCACGGTAGCGCCGTGGCGCACGAAAATGGGCTGCTACTGCATTGTGGGGTGCAAAAATGGGACACCACCATGAGATGCTGTTGCACCATGGGACACCACCACGCTGCACGCACAAAAATAGACAGCGCTGTGACGCACAAGAACGGGGCAGGGCCAGTGAGTATGCTTCCCCCTCCCTTTCCCTCCAGTCCACCAACCAAGAACGGCAACTTTCAGAGGATCTAGAAGCCACATGATAGCATGCCCCATTCCCACATAGCTTCTGCAGCAACTGAAAATTGCACAAGAAGTGGGTGTGTTCCAAATACTGCAGAGACTTCACAAGGATGCAGCGGACTGCCACATGGCCTCTGGACCAAATTCTGGTCTCAATTGTAAATAGAGGAGTACCTGTACATCAGGAACCAACTGGCAACCAATATAGTTCCTGAAGCAGGTGTTATCCAAGTATACCAGCATATGCCATCACTGCTGGACCACCATACAGTATTCTGTATTAACTGTTGCCTCTGAATGCTCTGCAACAGTAGTCTATTTAGAGTTGTCACAATAATCTAGGAGAAATTGATTAGAGCATAAGTGCCTGTAAGTAGGACTTCTCAGTTTAGGAATTGTTGCAATCGGTACAGAATATTTAAAAGTCCTGCTAGTCACCATTGCTACTTGCTCTTCAAGCAAGAATTGTGAAGCTAAGAGAACTCCAAAGTTCAAGGAGGACTCAGAGGATTGCACTCACTCTAAAATCCATCATCAGCAAGCATATCCAATGCAATTTACTTATTAAATCACAAACTGAACCCTGACTACCAAGATATAAATAAGCTACTTTCTCTAGGAGAAATTGTAAGATCACCATTTTTTTTCTAGGGCAAACAGGTATAGAGTTGGACTGAGCCAAGGTTTCCTGAACAGGAAATATGCTACAACCATCTCCAGAAACTACTAATCACTGCCAGATCCAGTCTTCTGCCATTTCACAGGAAGTCTTAGCCACAGTAGAAGGGTTCTAACTGAAAAGTGATGGAAACAACACTGTACAGGATCCACTTTCTCAGACACATAAACTCAAAATTATCCCAGATTATTTCCCAAGAAAAGACTTCAATCACCTCTATTGCCTGTATGCACCAGAAATCTAGCTTCTCTCAAATCTGAGCAATTTTGTCCATAAAAGCTGCAAAAAATTTTTAATAACCTTTCAAATGGTCTTGGCTTACTGTCAAATAAATGAATTACAGAAGTTCAGTCTTTTTTAAAACAAAAAAAAATGAACTGTTTTTGTCTCCACAAAGACAAGTTATTTCGATAATAAGTCATGTGTCTGAAGCAACATCCTTACTTGCAAGATAATCCAAGGAAGAACAAGTTAAATTCGGATGGCTAAGAGGCTTTAGATCCAAATCAGAAGGCTTTTATTGCTTTATCCAGTTTGATTCCTTTAGCCTTCTCAGAACAATCCAAGAATGGAAAAACACAAGGTAGAGAACAGTTTTCTAACAAACACTGCCTCTAACAGGTGTATGATTTCACCAGAACTTTCTTTCCAATTGCAAAACTAAATCAAGATTTTGTGTAATTCAAGACATTTAAGGGATGAAAATGGGTGCCTTAAGCATCTCAAAACTATTGATTCCTTACTTTTTGCTGAATTCTGCTAGCGTGAATTCAGACTCTATTAATTACTTTAGCTGACCTGTAGATTGTCCATTCCTGGTCTGCAATGAATTTGTATACAATGCTTTTGAGGGAGATGCAAAGGGAATAGTTCAAAAACTATTTTATTGATTTTGTTGATAAATTTGTATTTTGTATTATTTTTTAACCAGCAATAGTGCTGGTAAAGGAATTTCTTTTTTGTACACCCCAGTGTCTATTACAACTTAAATACTTTACATTAACACACAGAACCTCAATACTACAACTAAAAGGAAATTAAAGGACAATTATAATTACTATTAAATATTTGGCCTTGCAGTTTATTAGTACAGATCTAAAATAAAATTAGGATATTTAAATTTTAATGCAGACAGTAACAAAACATATTACCCAGAATATTTGATAACTACCACCTAAATCTGTTAAGATGGTATTAAATATCAATTTCTATTAGTTAAGATCAGAAGCAACTCCATTTTTAATAATCAAGCTTCCAATCCAGGAAAAAGTAGTATGATCTCTTACCCTACGCATGGCTTCCTCCTCCTCTTGACGCTTTTCATAATGTGCAAAGTCATCAAAGATTGAGGTGGTATGCTTGAAAGTAGCAATTATTTTAAGCACTTGCTTGGCTTTTTCTAGGGGTACTTCTTGAGTGTCCCTTGAATTGGTAACTGGTTTGTTGTCATTATTTTCCAAGCGAATGTGCCGCAGCTGGTTGTTTGGAACGTCTTTAACAAAGATCCATTTAACATCAAACTTCCCCTTCCATTTATCCTGAGACCAGACTCCAGCATATGCATTGTAGTCCACCACCGACTTCATCTCAGCCACTCCACAGAAGTGTCCACTGCCATTCACACTGAAAAGTAAATAGAGTGGGCCTTTTCCATTCAGTGAACGATACGCAGCATCCAAGCGCTTATTACCATGTTCAGTACTACACCAGATAGAATATTTAATGGAACGATGTATATCATCCTCTGAATAACTTTTTATTATAAACACACGACCATTCTTCAGGTTCCAGTCAAAGTCTTTGGGATTATAGTTGTTTATGGCCTTTAATTTCTCCAAAACTGGGTGTACTTCCACACCAGATGGTGAAGAGCTAACTGGTATAACACCTATACCATAGTTTTCATTGCCAGCTCCATTGCTCTGATTGAAGCCTACACCTCTATTGCGAGGAGCCACCCAGCGATTTTGCAGCTGTTGCTGTTGCTGCTGCTGCAACTGATGAGGCTGAGCCTGTTGCTGAGGTCCTTGAGGCTGTTGTGACTGTGGCGGTGGCTGCTGCTGCTGAGGCAGCTGGCTTTGCACCATAGGAGGTGGCTGAATTAAAGGCTGAGGCTGTTGAATTATAGTCTGAGGAGGCAGCATTGGTTGGGTTGGAGGAGCTTTTACCACCGACCCTTTTTCATCCCAAGTGCCAATATTCATGTTGTGTTTTATAGGTGGTGGCGGTATTGCAGGGCCCCCAATTCCCACATTACCTTTAGGTTTAAGTTTTGGCTGAGGCTTAGCAGGCTTTCTTGCAATGGCAGCCCATGAGGTTGGTTTAGGTGCTGAACTGCTGACTGCAGGCACATTATTCGCTGCAATGCTTGTCATACCTGTACTGGTTAGAGCTGATCCAACTGTTTTTGTTACAGCAACTGTCATTTCACCACCAATTTTCAATCCAGTCATACCTTGCTCAATGCTGCTAATTCCAGGTACCTTGCTCAAAGTATCATTGCCAAATCCAGCCTGTCCATCGGCTATAGCTCTACCGAGAGAGCTGGGTGGGTAGCCATAGCTGCTGCTATAAGCAGAGCTTTGGGTTGATTGCCCCTGAGATCCACTTGTCCCCCATGTAGAGAAATCTGCATTCCCAGGAAAAAAATTAAATCCATGCTGACCAAGAAACGGAGGAGTATTCCCTAAAGCCCCAGGTTGACTGAATACACCATCAGGGATATAGTGGTGTTCACCATTGCTCATCTGTCCATAAGTTGTCAAGTATGGCATTGGAGGATCTCCAGCTGTGGACCATGCTGCTTCACCCAAAGAGTATGGAAAACCAATGGAGGGAGCATAATAACTAGGCATATATGGGTCTGACATTGGTGGATAGCTATTACTCTGCAGATGAAGAAAAATAATAATCAAACTTTAATGCTACATTTATAATGTTTATCTCTTACTAATCTAAATTTAAGAATATTTAATACTGTTGATGTCCCAAAACTTAAATATAGAAAAATATTTTCACATTAAAAAACTGGATAAAAGCCCTAAAAGCCAAATAAATAATAGTGATTAATATAATTAATATGAATAGTTTAAAACTGCTCCATAATGGTACAATTTTAATTACACTGGTATGGCTTTCTAAAGAAAGAACTTGCACATCTTCTGGCACTGATGAACCTCCAATCATGTAAGAATATTCCCGATGCCATTTTATTTTATTCCTTATAATTGGGCTCCTGCCTTCTGCCTGTGGTTGTCTTCATCTTAAATCAGGCTATACAAAACAAGAGTTTTTTTAATCAAATATGAACTTCAGTATCTTTAGTGTGTTAGAATTTACTGTGTCTCCTGTCAAGATGCTACTAAATTCACTATGGAAAGACAGCAATAAGAAATCAAGCTATTGAACACATTTATTCCTTACTCACGAGGAGGAACATAATTTGAGACTCCAGGAACATACATTACTAAGTAGGACAGGACTTTTTGCAAGCTTAATTGACCCACAAACTTCCAAATTTATATATCTTGTTCTGTTCATTCAACCTAAATTTTTTATTGTATAATGGCACAAAAAATAAAACAGGCACAATAGTTTATTGTACCTGTTTTATTTTCAATATTTATAAGCTTATAAGGAAAACAAAATGGGAAAAATAGTATTTGTGTTAAGCAAAGACTTTTTTGAACCCTTACATTGCAGGGATTTGCATAAACTAAAAATTTGTTTCAAACATTACCTAAATATAAATAATTAATCATCTCACCAACACACAACTAGCTAGCTAGCTTAGAATGGAAAAGGGAGGACAATTTCAGGCCTAGAATATTCTTGTTTGATTGGTAATGATATGTAAAGCCATTTTATTGCACCACTCAGACGCTATGTTGAAAAACCGTCATACTGAATTTATTTATCTTGGTTTCCAGTGCAAATATGACTTTCAAATCAACTACTCCTTACACAGAAATACACATACATACATCAAAACTCAACATTGTATTTTAACATTTCAACATTTTCCAACTTCTTAACTATGACTTTCATCAGGAAAACATTAAGCCAAAATTTAATCACAGGCAACAATACATGTACAGTTCCCAACAATGTCTGAAATGCTTTATACCAAACCCTTGTGAGACATCACATTGCTGCACAAGATTCCAGATATGATTTCCAGCAACTTTTAAAAATGGAGGAGGGGAGGGGAACTTAGTTGAATAGAACAATAATACAACAACACTGAAAAATAGCTTTACAACTCAATACAGCAGCATTTCTGTGGCCATGTATCACCATTTGGGTTCTTTTCAACCAGTGGCTGTTTATCACCATTGCAGCAATTATGTGATCACCATTTGTGTGCTTTATAGCTGGCTTCTGACAACCAGAGTCAAGAGAGAAGCTGGCAGTAAAATTGCAAGACATGGTCATGTGATGTCTCACTGAATGACCATATCACTTAGCAACAAATCTCAAATGTAAGGACTACCAGTATTACTGCTATCATGCGGTAAGTCCTGATTAAATAGGGCACAAAAAGTAATGACAGAAAACTTGGCTGCAACTGAAAGAATACCCACACATCTATTGGCAGATGAAAATTCTAATTCTGTTTGTCAGAATTATTTAAATTTCCTATGTGTATTAAATAACATTTAAATTGACACTTGTTTAATGTCAAAAGTCAAACATTTATAGTTGTAAACATATTGCTTGCTATGATGCTCAACTAGCAATAATAAGCAATCAAACTACACCCCAAGCTGGAAGCTGCAGAAAGCAATGGAGACAATCATAGCAATGGTGTGTCAGTCACAATTACCTAGGTAGTTGCAAAGCCACTCAGGTGCAAAACTAGGTGGTCGAGACATCCAGAGGATAATGCCACCAAATTCCCTACCGTACCCATGTATTTTTGCTCCTACTCTGCCTTAGGCAAATCTGGATGAAAAAATATGCCCCATTTATTCAGGACTTACCGCATGAGAGCAGTAATACTGGTAGTCCTTACATTTGAGATTCGTTGCTAAGTGATATGGTTCCCTGACTTCTGCCATACTTAAATATCCAGAACCTCAGTGGAAGCTAATTAAGAATTTTTCAGGGGGAAAAAGACTTAAATTCTTTGCAGCTGTCTGAGAAAAAAAAATCTATATCAGACAAACTTCTAGAATAATAGGGTTGAGCCAAACAGAGATACATATGCAAGTCCTGGTGATTATCCTTAACTTTGCCTATGGCCTTTGTTAAATAGCCACCATTGCAGAGCAAGAAGAAAATAACAGAAACCCCCCATGAGATTAATTAAGACTAGCTAGACAGCTCTAGTTAATAATTCAGGCAAAGATTAACCAAGGATTCAAACTTTCCCCCATTGTTTTTATTTTTTATTTAAAAAAATCCAATTTAACTATGCTCTTTGAAAATAGAATGTATAACTTTAAAAATTGATCTTCTGTTTAGAGTATTAAATGAATGAAAATAACCACAAGAAATGTATATTAACTAAGCTTGTTTTCCATCCATATTCACTGCAAGGTGAACATCCTTGGTATTTACATCCTAAGCAAAAGAATTTAAGGAAAAATAAAGTTTTGGAACACTGACATGTTCCAAAGGCAGCATGTTTTATTAGTAAATGGGATATGAAATCTTTGAAAGGTTGTTTTTATTGTTATTAGATAATGAAAGCTATCTATTTTATTACTTATTACAAAGTACCAAGAATATGTAATAGTTTTGTAAATACTTGCCTGATTTGTCTGGCTACTCAGATATGGCTCAAAATCATCATCATTTACTGCATCCTTTTGATGAATTGAACCGTTTTGCACTGAAACTGAAATGCAACTAAAATTAGAAATAACATAAAACAGTTGTGCACGACTCTGAACATATAATGGAAATCATAACATTTTAAGTTAAATCAGAATAGGCAACATGCATATATCATGGAATCCTTAAATCAAAAAGCCGCAAAAGGGTTGGCACTCTGTATTTATATAATCATTCAGAAAAGAGACAAAAATGGAAAATATTATATAACTAGAAGGTGAAGAGTGAGCTTTATGCTTTCTATGGCCACAGAATATAAAGCAAGATAAAAAAGGTAAGTCTGAAATATTATTTGTAAGAAGGCCCTAATGAAAACAAACTAATTTGGAGCTTTGTGCATCAGAACAAGAGAACTTCAATGGATTCATATAGAACTGATCTGGTCTTTAACTAAACACTGTTTAGTGTTATATAGCACCTTAGATGTATACTAAGTTATCTAATAACCTTGAATAGTATAGCATGACAATAATTATTTTCCATTAAGTTCATGAGAGAATAAGTTCATCACTGAAACAGATGAATGATTTACTGATTTAATGAATTTTTCTATACTGAAATAGATTGAATAACAGCAAAAAGCACAGATTTGCTGTTAAAATTCTCTTTCTAATAGTGACATCCCAACATATATCTATAATAACTTTATTTCAAAAATATTTGTATCAAAGATTCTTTCTACTTGCTTTATACATAAAGAAACTCAGACTCAATCCCACAATCACTATGTAAACTTAGTAAAAATTCCTGAATGAAATTCAGTGATATAATATTGACTTAGATGGACAAATGGCCAGATCTCCTATATATTACTTCAAATGTAGCTTTTCAACTAGATTTCAGGTATATGATAAAAACTGAATGTTTTAAAAAGCCAATACCAATGAATTTCAGCCAACAAAAACTGTAATATAAAACATGGCTTTAATAATCTGCCTGTGTATTGCTCCATGGCTGTCTGTTCACTACAAAGACACCACAATGCATAAGCAAGAATTTCAAAACAGATATACAGTATATTCTCAAGATTTCCAAGTGTTCTATTTGGTTTCTACTTCTATCAACAAGCAGTAACAAATTTTTTAAGTGAGATTACAGTGGATGCACACTATATAGCAATGTGCCAAATCCTTATATAAAAGTTAGAACATTTTAATTCCAATCTTAAAATTAAATGAAAAAATAAATGTTTTCAAAAGGTAGTTTCTTATAAGGAATTACTTAGTTTGGTTGGGCAAGATTGGCAATTAAAGTCATTGACTGAGTTGAAGCAAGAAAATATTGTACACTCTTGGTTTCATTATAATCAATTGTTAGTGAGGTGGAGTTTAGATCAAAAGGTTGGTATCACTTTAGAGGATGTGAATTTGGTAAAACAGATTAAGGTCAAATTCATATAAAAAGAATTTATAATGTTTTAATAGAATTGGATTCTGAAACAGAATTAGTTAAAGACTGTATGATTAAATGGGCGCAAAATATTCAAGAACCGATTTTATTGGATACATGGGAGACAATTTGGGTTAGAAATGTAAAATTTACTCAGGCGCAAAATTTAAGAGAAAATTTTTATAAAATGTTTTATGGATGGCATTTGGATCCCCAAAAGTTGTCCCGCGTGTATCCGAATTTACAGCCCAAATATTGGAGATGTAGAAATTTAGATGCAACTTATTTTCATATTTGGTGGACTTGTAGAGATATTAAAGCTTTTTGGATTAAGATTTGGTAGAATATTCAAAAGATTTTTAAGAGAAAGATAAAGTTTACTCCGCAATTGTTTTTGTTGGGTATTATTGTAGATTTTGATGTTAAAGAAACTAATTTGATGTTGAATCTTATAACAGCTGCAAGATTATTGGTGGGGCAATATTGGAAGAAAAACTTATTGCCTACTTTGGAAGAATGGATATTTAAAGTGTCTAATTTAGCAGACATGGCGAAAATCTCCGCATATTTGAATGATCATTCACAAGAAAAATATATTATGGTTTGGAGAAGATGGATTGATTACATTCAGAAGAAATATGAGATTGAAAAGTATTATTTTGCTTTTGAGTAGATTCTAGATAATTATTATTAGTTTTAATTATTTTATTATTTTTGACTTAATTTGTTAATATTTGTTGGGAGAAGGAGTTAAAGTGTGTTATGGTTTTGATTGATAGTATAATTGATTAATGTTAGTTAAATTATGTTTGTTTATTTTATTTTTTATCCTGTAATCAGCTCTGGGAAGTGTGGGAGGGGGGAAGGGGGGTTTATATTGTAATAAATTTATAAAACTTTTAAATAATAAAAAAGGTAGTGTTTATATTGTGCATTCCTGATAACCAGAATGGATATTAAGGTTTACAATTTAACTTGCCAAACAACCACTCAACTGAGCATCAAGTTCACAGATTAGGTACTTCATTCCCATATTACAATGATTATGTTAACAGATTTATACTGTTTTAATATTCTATTGAAAGCAATCCAACATACCTCATTTTTTTATAAGCTTGCTGATCTGCAATAAAGTTACTCATCTATTTAATATATCTCACTATTATGTATTCTCTTCTATCACAAATAGCCAATTCTGGAGAAAAGAAAAATGTGCCTAAAATTTGGGTTGCAAAATAGGTATCAATACAGATATCAAGAGAATATCTGTAGCTCAGGGTTGAACTGCAGAGTCCTTAATGCTCTCTAATCTTGGTTGTTTGTTTGCAGATGTTTCATTACCTGACTAGGTAACACCATCAATGCCAATACCTAAAGCACTGATGGTATTACCTAACTGGGCAATGAAACATCTGCAAGCAAACAACTAAGCTCATATAGTGCCAAAGACTCCACAATAAGCTTTATTGCAGTCCTACATGAAAGTCAATCAGATTATCATTTTATTGGTTTCTTTAAAATTCTATTTCTAACATACTTTCAATTTTATCTTGTTTTCTTCATTAGTCTTTCTTTCTTGAATTCTTTCTACACACATTTTTGTAAACCACAGCCTAAAGGCGTTTTCTCTGCTAAAAACATAGAATCTTTTAACATGATTTACATCCCTTTGCACAACTGCTGTACTGAGGGGAAAAAAGAAATGGGCTTGTTAAAAACCACAAGCCAAAAATATAAGTCATATAATATCGCAAGTGCAAGTACTAATTTTAAAATTAATAATATTCAAAACAAGTACATACCAAAATTGGTACAATTCATTCTAATAGAATATCTGACAGAGTAAGCAAAAGAAAAAGATGTAAATGTGCGATACAATTTTTAGAGAAAGGCAAAATTCTCTACCAAGTATTTCAGAGAAAGACAACAGCACTTTATCCTGTGATTCACCTTACAGGAAATCAATTATGCCATAGAATAGGAACATATGCTACTAGCTCATAAGAACTAAAACATATTTTTAAAATATATCAAATAAAAGACAGATACATATCAGAACAAATTTTAAACAAAAGATATTACATGTCTGATTTTCTCCCTAACTGAAATTTAGCTGTTAAAAATCTAAATCACAAAGTAGAAAGCACAATTACTATTAATTCAATATAATATTCAGTGATAAAAATGAAGTATATATGTGAATGTATGTGTGTGGGTGTATTGTGTGTGTGTGTGTGTGTAGGTATAGATATATATATGTATACACACATACATACACACATTATATATATATATATATATATATATATATATATATATATATATATATATATATATGTATACTTAAGTATACTTAAGTATACTTATTGATCTGAATAAGTCTTACTTCTAAATAAAGAACACCTAATATATAAAACTTCAATAATATAAAGGTGTGGCATCTTGTTCCACTGACAGACATTTTGACAATCATCATGAAGTTCAGTCATAGCTACAGGTATTTAAAAGAATTACAAATATAAATAAATAGTGTATCCCTTAGTTCTTGATATTTCTTTCCAAAGTGTGTGTGTGTGTTTTCTGAGGTTTTCGCGGGTGTTTGTATGTAGGTCTTTGGTTATTCGGGTTTTCTCCCCCATAAAATTGGAAGTGTCTTGCCGACGTTTCGACAAAGTCTCATTTGTCATCTTCAGGCTGGTATTTTTGGCTTCGTGCTTCTAGGACCAATGTGTGATCGTAGCTGTTTCTTCCTTTTAACTGCCAGTGGGGGTATGAACTGATTGGGTGGGAGCTTGGCTGTGTTCTGATTGGGTGGAGGTGTGTTCTGATTGGTTAGGGCCTTCGCTGTGCTCTGATTGGATGGGGGTTGGCTGTGCTCTGATTGGATGAGGGAGTGTTCTGTTTGGGTGGGGGCTTTGTTGTGCTCAGGTTAGTCTGAGTTGCAGGGGGATTTGAGATGAACTGAGTTGCTGTTGTTTGGCTTCGCATTCATGGTCGTGCCTCATCTTCATGGTGGGTGTCAGTTTGCTTCATGTATGGATTGGAGGGGTTTAAAGTGGCTAATGATGCAGCTGTGGTCTGGCTTCTGGGTTTGTGGTCATGCCTCATCATCGGTGTGGCTTTGGGTTTGCTTTTTACATGGATGTGTGGTGGTGACATCCTGTGTGGTTTTCGTGAGTGTGGGTCTGGTGTCATTCCTTGTGTTAGGGACTCGTTTGTCAATAAGTGTGGGTTTCCAAATGGCTGGTAGGTGGAAGGTATCATCTCGTTTATTCATGCTGTGTGGGCGTTTTTCTATAACGATGGCTTCTCTGATTATTCTGTTATTAAAGTATTCAATTTTGGCGATAGTTCTGGTCTTTTTAAAGTCAATTTCATGTCCTGTGGCTTTAAGGTGTTGGACCAGGGAAGAAGTTGGTTCCTCTTTTTTGACTGAGTTCTTGTGTTCTTCAATGCGTGCACTTATTCTTCTGTTGGTTTGTCCGATGTATGTGGTGGGGAAAGCGGTGCATGGGATTTCATATACTCCTTGATTTTCTAACTCAATTTTGTCTTTGGGGTTTCTTAGGATGGTGGATATTTTTCTGTTTGTGCAGAATGCTGACTTGATGTCTCCTCCCATACATAAAAGGCACCACAGACAGAATCAGCAAGATCCTCCACAAACACAACAACACAACCACAAACCAGAAGCCAGACCACAGCTGCATCATTAGCCACTTTAAACCCCACCAATCCATACATGAAGCAAACTGACACCCACCATGAAGATGAGGCACGACCATGAAAGCGAAGCCAAACAGCAACGCAGCTCACCATCTCAAATCCCCCTACAACTCAGACTAACCAGAACACAACAAAGCCCCCACCCAAACAGAACACTCCACCAGCCAATCAGCGCACAGCCAACCCATCCAATCAGCGCACAGTGAAGGCCCTAACCAATCAGAACACACCTCCACCCAATCAGAACACAGCCAAGCTCCCACCCAATCAGTTCATACCCCCACTGGCAGTTAAAAGGAAGAAACAGCTACAATCACACATTGCTCCTAGAAGCATGAAGCCGAAAACACTAGCCTGAAGATGACAAATGAGACTTTGCTGAAACGTCGCCAAGACACTTCCAATTTTACGCGGGAGAAAACCTGAATAACCAAAGACCTACACACACACACACACACACATATATATATATTATACACACAGATACACAGACACAGACACAGACACAGACACACACACACACACACATATATATATATATATATATAAAATTTTGTTTGCTCCTTGGTTTATTAATATAATGTAATCAACCAGAGTTACTACAATAATTGAGGTGGCTTATAAACTGAATAAATCTTAAATAATTAGGTTTACTTCTATGAATAGTTTATTTTAAAAATTAAAACAATATGTTCTGTTCAATACAATATCAGAAAAAGACATTTTAGGATTTTATTGAGAATTCTAATGTAAGCAATCTGACATTGATTCTATAGATATATTTTTATCAATTATTAAATGTAATAATTATATAAAATATAATGAATCTAATTAACTCAATATAGTTAGGTCTTTTACTTGTAAATGGGCTGTACACATATGTTCAGAGCCATAATAATAAACTGTCAACATCTTGTCACCAACCATGATTGATTAAAACTAGATCACTAATTTATGATGGTATAAACTGTGTATATCTGTATTACTAACAGTATTTTAATTTCAGATCAATTACCATTATCTGAAAAGACAAAATATCTGTAGTTTAATGCATATCCAAAATATTCCCTAAGATACTATCAGCATATGTATCTTTTGCATAAATAGATAAATCTTCTAATTGTCTAATGTTTCATAACACTTTTAGGCATCACATCTTCCTTACTATTTGATGTTATTTATTTTGACAAAGTTTTTTTTACAGTTTTGTGATGTTTTTTAAATTATGTAAATTCTCTGGGAAATAATATTTAAAACAAGAAGTGTGGACTATAGGGCATTTATAGAAATTATTTCTCTGTACTTCTCAGATGTGGAAATGTTTAAACAATACATCTATATACCCTTTTGCTGAGAAACAAGCCAAACTGAGATGACTGAGTGTATTCCAGAAAAAAGGTATCACAATCATTTTCTCATTTCATCATTCAAATTTGAAAGTGTTTCATTGTGATGGATGCTATCAATTTTAAAATAGCTCTAAAGAATATTGGCAAACAAAGAACTGTAAGAAATGTCACGGATAACAAACCCCGTTGGAATTTACCATTTCAATGATGTGATCACTATAATACACAGTTTTGATTAACATAGCACTCTGTTAATATAATCTTAAATATTGATGCAAGGTTTTTTTAGCCTTGTACAGCTTCTTTTTTACCCACACAAGGCCAAATCCACGCACAGGCTTTAGTTACTGGAATTCAGGGATAAAAGTGACAGTGGTCATCCACAAACAAAAAGAACGAAAAATGGCTTATTTAAGAAACTATCAGAAAGCAAACTGACAACTGTACCAAATCACCAGTCTTTGAAATGCTATTTTTTAAAAATGGAAGTTTTTAACTAAGTTAGCTTAAAAATAGATTCAAACAGCTTTCCCATTCTCTTTTCTCCCTGAAATTACAAAAGTTCTAACATTGTTCCTCAAAAAACTCATCTTTAGATACATCTTGATCAATGTGAAATGCATGAAGAGATGCTGAAGCAAAATTATCCAAACCAAGCAGAAATCCAGCCTATGTATCCAGGCTATGTTTCCCACTTCTTTTGAAATTTAAAAATTCTACCTCAAATCTAAAAGCCTTCCTCCTAAGCTTTCAAGGAATGGAATGAAACAGGAACAAATTTTTTTTTATGAATTTCCTTAAATTAATTCATCTTAGCATTTAAGATAAACTTTTAGATGCTAAGATGAACTGCAAAAACATGTTATTATAACAAACCTAATTAAAGTTGAATGGTACTTGAGACACTTAATATCTGAACTAGAAAATCAATAAGCAAAATAAAATAATAAAAGAACCTACATCAGTTGATTAGTTCTATTTGTTCTGATGGCAGAAATAAAAAAAAATGTCAAAACATTCAGGTAATTCAAGTTTATTAGATATGCAAATACAAATGCAGAATTTCATTGGTGTAGCCTAATGAATCATTTACTATTATCAATAAAATTTGTCAAACAAATGAATATCCTCAATCCCTCCAGTCTTTTTTTTTCACATTAATGAAATAATTACACTCTGCTTAACTGGGATTGTAAGAATAGAAAAATCAACTTACCTTTATTTCCCTGTCCTTTAGGTCTCTGTTAGCAATGAAATAAAATAACAATAGATGAATTATATATAAATAAGTAATCTTATTTTAAAAATAGTAAATATTAAGACCTAAGCATCTAATGAATTCTAAACGGGTTAGTATCTCAAAATGATACATAACAATAGTTATATTTAAAACATAAAAGAAAAAATATACTATTAGCACCATAAGCAATAAGACATAAAAGTACTAGAACTTTTTACTTAAGTGCTAGATTTATCATTAAAACGTAGCTAAAAATTAAAATTCCACTGTGATAACATGATTATAAACATTATATTATTCCTGTTCTTCCCCTTTATCCCATTAGACTTAGTGACTTTAGAATTGTAATAATTTTCTTATGTTGTTGAAGCATAAAATCAATGAAGAAAAATCTACACTTGTCTAACTTTGGTTAATACTAAAGTATTTTCAAAACTGAAAATTCAAATCTGAGATTGTTAAATTATACTGACTCTGATGTGCCTGATTTTGGTGTTTATTAAATTTACTATTCACTACAGACCTCCACTATCAATTATTTTTTAAAAAGGTAGTGCATTCACAGAGGGAGAGAGAAGTTCATTAGATGGTTGCAAAGATCACAGTGGGAAAAACAGCCCAAGAATATAAAGATAAGGTGGTGGAAAAAAGCACACAACAATAAAAACAGCAAAACTAGGAAAGGAAAAAATAAGCAAACAAAAAACAGTGTATAAAAACATAGCACTGCCATATAATCTGCAAAAATAAAAATATCACCTTAAGGCAGTGTTTCTCAACCTTGACCATTTTAAGGCATGTGGACTTTAACTCCCAGAATTCCACAGCCAGTATTGCTGGCTGTGGAATTCTGGGAGTTGAAGTCCACATGCCTTAAAATGGTCAAGGTTGAGAAACACTGCCTTAAGGCGACAAAAGAGTAAGAAAAATAAATGGGGGGGCAGGGAGAAAAGAAAAGAAGCGCGGTAACAAAAGGCCAGCAGAAAATACTGAGTAATGGAGAACAAACGGCAACGACTATTGCGAATTCCTCAGAGCCACGTCCAACTACAGTCAGGGAGGGCAGAATATTTAGCCAGAGGCCATCCCGAAGAAGGAAAGTGCCGGAGCTCGTAGATTTTAGGAGACTTTTGCCTCCCATGAATACAAGCAATGGAATCGTTGAGCCTCAGCAGGAAGGCCCCAGGCCGAGCGGCCTCCAGGCCTGCAGAAGGGGCGGTCCTGGGAGCAGGGGAGGAGTCCCACGGTCTCGGATGTAGCGGGCTCGGATCCCCGCTATGACCAACGGAAGGAAGGCGGGACGAGGAATCCTCCACTCGGGAACCACAAAGCCGCGAGAAGGCGGTACCTGATCGACGCTGGTGGCTGACATTCTTCACGGGGAGCCGCAATCCCCCTCACCCCGCTCCGCTTGGGCCTCCTCCTTCTCTCCCTCAGGTCGTCGTGGTCGCTGTTTCCGCCTCCTCTACTCTCCCCTCCGCCGCTGGCTGATTGTCTCCGCTGCCCGGACCCTCCTGTCCTGGTCAGCGCCTCCCAAAGCCACCCGCCGGACGCAGCACGACTTCCCACCTCTACTCCGGGCTCCGGGCTTTCCCACAATGGCGGACGCGCTCCGGCTCCTACTTCCGCTCCGCGGCACCCTGACCTTCCGCTCTTCCCCCTCTGCTGACGACGTCGCCACTGACCTTTCCCTTTCCTTTTCCGCTTCAAGTCACGTGGAAAAAAGTAACAGGGAGCAATCTTCGCGCGTGCGCCAAAGGGGTGTTCGAGGGCCCGTATAAAGGAGGCGCCTCTTATGGAGAATGAGGTGTTGGCGCAAGCGCAGTAAGAGCTGGCTGGGACGGAGAAGGAAGTGAGGCTAGCGTTTCGGGTCTTGAGCCGTCTGCGATTCTGGCAGGAGCCGGGCAGCTGCTTTTCGAAGGGCGGTGTTGGGAAGAAGTGCTGCCTACGGCGTTCCTCCGCTTTACCAACGGCCTGGTGGTGCGTAAAAGACAAGGGCTCTTTTTCAGGGTGTGGTTGCAGGGTTGGAGTCCTGGCCGTGGCGGTATCGCCTTTCAGAAAAGAGTGCATTTTCGGGCCAGTGGCTGCCATTGACCCGCCTGGGATTGGCTGTGGACTTCGAAGCGGCCCTTCAGTTGGAAAGCCGAAGTGGGACAAAGGACGTGGGAAGATGTGCCCTTGCTTTGTATTCTGTCCGTTTCTGGCTCATCTCCCATTGTTTAAAGGAGATCGCACGAAAGAGCGTAGATGCGAGGTACCCACTGTAAGAACTGGCGATCCTACAGAGGCTCTTCCCAAAACTAATTCTGTGACAAAAGAGATATTTGGACAGATTGCCGATGGAGTTGGGATTCGGGCAGATAGCCAGGATCTTAAAAACAGGCTTTGTCTGGCCTCCCTAGCCTAGGCCCTCTAATTTAGGCTTCAAGACTAGCATTATTAGTCATAGATTATACTGTCTTCACGACTAGCATTATTAGTCATAGATTAATGGAGAACTGGATTTCACAAGTCATTTATTTGGGGATTTTTTTATTGCTGAGCTAGGACAGCATCAGAAAACAAGGGTTTGGCTCTGTTTCAATTTGCATTTTTAACATTTTTCCTGAGAATATGATTCTTTTCCCTGGCCCCTCCTATACAGTTTTAAACTTTTATTTTCCTCCTTAAGCTCATCAGTATGTGTTAAATTTGTTTTGCTTTATACTTGTTATTTTAGAGGCGAAGTCAGATGACCTGTTGCAGCAATTGAAGATCTGTTTTGGGAGGCAAACCTCTGATTATATTGCAAGCTAACAACTCCTCTCTGATCACCAACTACTCTCAGCCTTTGCTCTCACTAGCACTTTGTTTTCTGAATTTTGAATTTTTCACCCATCTCTCTCTCCATCTGCTTTCTTTGTTTAGCATCAACATATCCAGGCTTTCTACAGCTTAGAGATGAGGACAGCTTTACTAAAGTATTTAGGAGAGAAGACTGGTTAATAGCACTATTAATGTATTAAATTATTAGATTATTTTATTTTGAAATTTTATTATTCCAGAATGCTCATACACAATCAACCAAGAAGAATGGGATACATGTTTTAAATTGGCCAGTAATTTAAATGGGATACAATTTTTAAATTGGCCAGTAATACATCTTTTTAAAATGGCCAGTAATTTTAAACACAGAGGAACCAGATATTTGAAATGATGGAAAGTAAAACTTAAAAACTATGACAAAATAAGCCCTAGTCTATGAATGTTCATCAGCAGAAAAAAACAATTCAAAAAATGATATTTGATGAATCTCCATATGTAAATGAAATGGTTCCACTTTTTCTGTTATGAATGCTCAATTTACAACAATTTGTTTCATGGCCATTCAAAGTTACAATGTATTGAAAAAAGTGACTTATGACCATTTTTCATACTTAAGACTGATGCATCATACCCATGATCATGTGATCAAAATTTGGATGCTTGGCAACTGCCTTGTATTTATGATGTTTGCAGTGTCCTAGGCCACGTGATCACCTTTTGCAACCTTCTGACAAGCAAGTTTAATGGGAAAGCCAGATTTACTTAACAAATAATTTACTGTGCAGTAATCTTGGAAAATGTGACATTTTATCTTGGAATGGCATTTGGCATTCTTCTATGATGTCTGATAAACCAGAAGTGCTTTTTAATAATGTGTACCAAATTTTTGAAGCAAATAGGCTGAAAGCTGGAAAAGTATACACTTAAATAATATATTGATTGTAGAGATAACGAGTGGAAGAAATACTTCGGATCATAGCCTAATTACTTATTACAAAGAATAACAATTTTTAATGAATACACTCTCTCCCATGAAATTGAATCGTTCTTTAGGTATAAATTTAGACTTATATACCACTTCACACTGCTTTACAACCTTCTAAGCGGTTTAAAGAGTCAGCAAATTGCACCTAACAGTCTGGGTCCTCATTTTGCTGACCTCGGAAAGATGGAAGGCTTAGTTACCCTTGAGCTGGTGAGAATCGAATTGCTGGCAGTCAGCAGCATTAGTCTGCAATACTGCATTCTAACCACTGCACCATCACAGCTTTAAATACTAGTCAGAGTAAAGGGAAAGGGTCTTTAGGCAACTCTTTTGCTGTTTTTTTGCTGATTTAGAAAACAAAATAGCTCCTGTGCTGTTTTAGACCAAGAAAAAACATGCTTGTTTTCCCTACCACAGCATCCCCAGGTGCTCGTGACGATAGCTGCAGAGATTTCAGATAACATTATTTTTCAGGATATTACTTTTTCCCTTGTCACATTTTCTCATTTTGACCAAAAGTCTGCCATTAACATCAAATGCTAAGTATAGCAGGCATAAAATATAAAGCAATAAATAGCTTAAGAAACAATAAGCTAATGAATCAAAAAGGATATGTGGGAAAAAGGAAGGTAGGACTGTTATTAGCTTAATAGATTTGGTTCATACATCTTAACAGGATGATATCAAATTAAAGCCAATGTAGATGACTGTTAGCAACAAAAAGGAGCTCCTAGTTCCAGTTTTTAGAGTAAAGAATTTGGTTGAGGTAAAAATCACCATGACAGGTTAAAAATTTTCTTAATTCTGCAGTAAATTATAGATATCAATTATTTAATTTATTAGCCCTGTCATTTGCCAAAGCATTTATTTCAGTTGTACTATTTTGATTTATAGCCTAATTTTCTCTCCTGGTTTTCAATTTTCTGCGTTGTTTTTTTTTTCCCCATTTCCCTGTATTTATCTATTTTGTTCCTCTGTCCTCACCCTACGCTCACATTATAAGCAAGATATCTAATTATCAAGCAAGTTACCTTCCATGCTTAATTCCCCATGACCGATTACTCTATTTGCACCATCTGCCTCTCTCATTTCTGGGGCTATTCCTGTCCTTGTGTCTTCCAATATATTTCCATTTTAATTTGCATGTTGTGCAAATAAGATATACTAGGAAAGAAAGACCATCTAGCCTAAAAAATCTCCATGTAGAATTATACAATCAGGGTTTATCCTCCACCCCCACCAGATTCCTGCTGCAGACCATTATGGATATTTTGCCTATTGGTTAATGAAGACAACAAAACTAGATGGGGGGGGGGGAAACATTATGGTATACTCAAATCAAGACAACCCCAATTGGCAGTAACTGAAAACAGTCATAATAGATGGATAGAGATAGCAGATACAGCAAATTAGTATTTGCTTCTGTCCTACATTTATGTGTTTTACAATTGCCTTTTTTAGATGATTTATTATTGTCACAACAGAAAATGAAAGTAATCTTGGAGTAAAAAAATTGTGCCAATCTTTTAACAATAGTAATTTAAAAATCTTAGACTGATTCATGATTCCTATTGGTTGCTATTCTGCTTTTTGAAATACAGCCATTAAAATGTGTTGTTTTTTGAACAGGTATGTTGTTCTTCTAAGGATGATTATGCAATGATTTTGCTAACAATATTATTGAACCAATTTTTTGTTTGCCAGTTTAATGTTTAGTAGTTTTTTATTTAATATGTTTATGATAATAGTGAATAGATAACAATTGCATATCCAAAATTGTCCATTTCTCTTCAAACTGCACAGCTTTTTTTATAACAAGTTTTATTAATTTTTCAATTTTGCATCCAAGTATTTAGGAATCAGCGTGGTGATAGGGTAATCAATAGTCCAATAACAAAATCTTTCATACATATCTCAGGTTGTGTCATTAAAAATTCCATTTCTATTTCCCTTAATCATTGTATCACATTCAAGTTAATACATTTCTAATTATAGCTCAGTCTTTCAATACATTTGTCAATATAATTTTATTTATACATATCCAAGTCCTGTTTTTAAGTTTTACCTAATTCCAATTACCGTGTTCCAATTTAGCCTTTAATAACCATAATATTTAAACTTTGGGTAACCCAAATTTCCCTAATTTCATTACAAAATAGTTATCGTGTCTAAAATACACATATTATTTGGATAGTTAAATTTTCACAAGTATATTCTATTTCTCATCCTAGTAACTCATCATTTACTAATCAAATATCTTTCATTGTCACAAACCACTTCCATATTACAATTCAACACTATAGTCTAATAGCTAATTTTCATTTCCTTTATAGATCTAAGTCCTAGATATTAAATCAATCAATATCTCTAAAAAAAATCTAGCCCATTAAGTAGGATTTATTTATTGATTTCATCAATCAGCAAAAAGGAGAAAGAAAATCCCATTTTTTAATCTAATTCTAGCTTTCTTTTTGTGCCAAGCAGGCTTCCATACCAGTGTCTTTAAATCCTCAAGAGAGTCTCCATTCCTACACGTTGTTTAAATCAAAGGAGCGCATCCAGTTATCAATTTTTCAAAGGAACTGGCCCCTTTGTAGTTATTAGATTGTTGCCCTAGTAGTTCAACTCTCCCTGTTTGATTTAGAATATTTGTCATCAATTCCTGTCCGATGTTGTAGTTGTTATTTGATTGTCTAGATTGTCTAAGTTCTCAATATATTGTATTTGTGGATCTTTAGCATCCTCCATCTTAATGTTGCTTTCTTCAGTTTCTGTTGCTTTTTGAGTTACAAGTACTTTAGTTGAAATCAAGGTTTGATTGTTAAAATTCTCAGTAAATTGTATTTGTTGTTGTGTAGAATCTTCTTTGATGTTAATTTGTTCCTCTTCAGTTTTTTGTCTTGTAACTTCATCAGTTGAAATCTGGGCTTCAATTTATAATTTTAAGGTGACATCTTTATCTTTCACTCCAGTTCATTAGCTCCATGGCTTCAAGGATTTTTTCAAATATAAGTTTATAGTTAAGTTGTGGGTAGGATTCCTCCATTTCTATGGTGATTAGAGATAGTCTTTTAGTGGAGGCTATGTTTAGTAAAAGTCAGCAAATTCCACCTCCACTATTCCTAGAAGTTGTTTTCACCACCCAGCTGTTTCAAGTTCTGATCTTTTTTAGATAGTGTGAAGAACAAATCTAGAGAGTAAACAGGCCTCACAGTCAAAGAAATTCAGTTGATGTACCAGACTTCACCACAAGATGTCCCCGATAGGCTATAAAATCTTTTTCCAGACACCAGTTAGGCTTTTATCCAATTGAAAAAAAATTTCCAACTTACCAAATAGATAAGATGATAGTCCCTGTAATAGGAACTTTTTTGGGACCCCAAAGCATCCAAAAAATACAGATCCAGTTATTTAGTTATTTAGATTAGTTGTTCTTTTTTTTTTTTCAAAGTTTAATTTCCCAAAATAGGCAGATACCGCTATGTTAAAAGCAGGGGTGGTTTCAGGAGGCTTTCACAGGAAGGTAGTTGGGGTAAGACAAAGGTAAGGAAGGGTCTCACCCAAATCCTCCGGGGTGCTTTTGTTGTGCTTGGTGGTGATTTTGGCTTTCGGCAGGCACAGCCTAGTGATTGGCCATGTTGATGGCCAATCTTTTCTCTGGCAGTCCAGAGGAGCTGCCTCAGATCAAACGAAAGGGCTACCACCCTTCTGCGATCTGTCGAGGGTCCTCATGGTCGTCAGCCCTCCAAGGCGACTTACGACCATGTTCAGGGTCGCCCGACGAAGGAAAACTGGGCAGCGGAGAGAGCGCTCTGTCTGAGCATCAACCAGCGCCACGATCTGGAACCAGAAGCCCAAACTGCACAGCTTTCTAATGATCTCTATCAATAGTCTATCTGAGTGGTTCTCAACCTGTGGTCAGCCCTGGGAGACTGCAATGTCATCCAGCTAGCTTCTGGTGCATAGGGCAGGTCTAGAATCTAGGCTTCACCAATCATAGCTCAATGGCTTGGCTTCTCAACCAATTTCACTCTCAACTTGCTGATATATATATATATATATAGAATAATTTTGTTTTTAAGCAAATCTTATACAAATCTAAAATTCATTCCTTTACCACTTGCTGAGGTCGTTCTGTAAATTCTTTCAGCAAATTTTTACTGTAAAATTAAGATTTTAAAAATATAGGTATTATTATAGGTTTAGTTTTTATAATGCTTCAGAGTTTCTGTAAACATTTGCAAAACTTGTATAGATATTCTGCTTACTATTTTTTCAGTGAAGCGGAATATAAACAATTCTTTAAACTGAGAACGCTAAATAAATATGAACATTCTACTTCTATCTTCTTTGGCTCTTAAATATAGATCTGTTGGTGACTTATGTAGTTTTGTGTTGACAAATCCACAGACTTTCAACTTTACTTACTGTTGGCTCACTGACAAAATAAGCCTACTTTAAACATAAGCTTATTTAATTAAAGCACCAAGGCAACAAATATATTCATGCAATTTACATTCCAGGAAATAACAGGAATTGCTATTCTAGCTGAAACATAGATTAGAAGCTGACTAAAGTTAGATCCAGTATAGTGTGGTGGTTAAGATCCAACTTTAGCCTTAAGTACTCACTGTGTAACTTTGGCTCAGTCACTATCTTTCAGCTCAGCCTACCTCACAAGTTTATTATTGTGGGGGGGGGGAAATAGGGGAGGGCATGCAGAACATGCTACCTTTGCTCCTGGTCAAAAGGTATGATTCAGATATAACAAAAATAAAATTTATGATCTATCCAAACAAAATTAGTGTTGTTTAAAAAGAATTTACATAGTACAGTAGGGTTAGTGCTCTTCCTTGTTCTGTGGTTTGTCTATTGGAAGCAAATGCAGTGGATTTTTACCTTCCATCTGTTTTATTTATATATTTCTTTTACTCCTAGACTAGTTGTTTATTTGGAAGTTTGGTTTTCCCTGCCTATAGCCACCATGAGCCCAGCTGATGCCAAGCGCTGTGGGACCAAGCGTCGGAAAAATAAAAAAGGTGGTGGCCTTGGCCCATCAAACCTAGCTGGAGTCTTCGAGGTCAAATCTGTAGGACTATCTTCTAATATTGCTCCCTCCTCTTTTTCATCATCAACCCCATCTACTTCTACTGTTGCCTTCTTGCAGACCCCCAATACCAACACAGCTTCTTCTAGCACTGAAAATGGTCTTCTGGCAGTAGCTGCCACAGCTCCCAACTTGATTCCTAATGAAAGAATGAAGAAGGCCGAGCTTCAGAAAAAGCGCTGTGGAGGAACAATTAATTCTAGACAAACTCGTAAAAGAAATATAGTTAGCAACACAGCTCCTGAAACAGCTTCACAAGAAACAATTGATCTTGAAGTTAACAGTTGTGAAGAAGTAGTTGATCTGACTTGTGAATCTTCAGAACCAATAGTAGTTGATCTGACACACAACGATTCGGTTGTGATTGTTGAAGAAAATGTTTGTCAACAACAAAATCAAGAATTTAGAAATCAACTCCCTGACAGCTGTATATTAAGCAGTGATGATGATGAACCAAGAGATGAAGTGATTTTGACTAGCACCCTAACTAAAGAATTGGAATTATTAGAGGATGATATTCCAAGTTCACACCGTTCAGGTACTGTGAGTTGCCCAATTTGCATGGATGGCTATTCGGAGATTATTCAGAATGGACGGCTTATTGTTTCAACAAAATGTGGTCATGTCTTCTGTAGCCAGTGTCTTCGGGATTCTCTAAGAAATTCTAATTCTTGCCCAACTTGTAGGAAGAAACTTGGCTACAAACAGTATCATCCAATTTATATATGAAATTTAGATACTTCTACAAAGAATCTATAATGTACTCTTCTGAATGCTTCATATACATATATTTTCAGCAACAATAGAATATTATAATTTCCCAGATACAACAGTTAACATGGAGACCATGATGGAGATTCCTCAGTATGTAAGCTTTTTTAAAAAATTTGGTTAATCACATGAAGTTGGCTTTATAGTCCACCAAAGTATGTAGATGTTTGAAGGACAGTTAGCTACAATGGGTGCAAAATGGTATTGCCATGCTGTTTTTGAAAAAATGACACCTCTACAAGATACATTTTTTACTCCAGATGACAGGATGAAAATCTGTTTTAATTTGCCCAAGATACTACTCATGCTTACGATAATGTAATTGGCCTGCATTTTTCTTTTTGCATTTCATTTTCAAAAAATTTGAACTTACATATGTTTCCTGATGATATTCTACCTTTTCATGAACTTCTGCATTTCTAAGAAGACTATATTTTGTAGCCAAGGTGCACCACATTTCTAACATTAAATGTTTAAATATTTCATTTGGAGGCATTTTTGGAAGACAGTAGTAGGACCATAACTAGAAAATGTTTGACTCTAAAGTATAATCATAAAGAAATATTTTCTGTATGCACCTAACTTAACAGAAGAATAAATTGAAACCTGCTTCATCATCTCAGAATAAGGCAAAGAGAAACGTGAGTTCTGGCGTAAGAAGTTCAGATATTTGACAGAGTGAACATAATGAAAGCTGTCTTTCAGTAAATACATTTTCATACTGGTGTATTAAAGTCCTAATGGTTCTTTCAATTCTCTTTATATAGTCATAAAGTGCAGACTGAACATTTTTAATCCCTATACTATCATTATTTCTTTCATCTAAATAGGTGCATTTTGAAAATACCAAGAAAGCCCTTATTAGACTGGTTACCATTAACAAATAATTAGAATGGTACAGCATGAAAAATACAACAGTAAGTTTGCTGTTAAGAATTTTAGTTTGGAGCTTCATATTTTTGCTAGATGCTACACTGATGAAAATAGTAAAACTTGTAGTTTCTGCATAGGCAGAAGGAAGTAAGTCACGCAGCTTGGATAGACAATTTATGTTCTATTATCTATATTATTGATGTTTGATTATTGTGTAATCATGAAGGGTTTCTTAGCAGCTACCTTCTAAATGAATGTTATATTTACACATTATCACAACTACAAAACAGAAAAAAATCACTGCAGTATTAGGAGTTTCAATAGACAATTGAATATTTTTCCATTTTTAAATTTTAAGAATGATATGGATCCTGTTGTCCATTTATATTAGGGCAGTAAAAATTAGAGATGTGTGTAAATCGGAAAGAATATTTTGTTTCAAACACAGAGCTAATCCATTTCATTTTGGAGGTTTTGGCAAACTTTCTTAGGTCCTTCACAGTTCAGCTTTAGCTTTATTTATTTTGGGTTTTGGATGACATCTGAATAGAGTAATATTAATACGTATCACCCCTTTCTCTGTTTCTACACTGCAGCGCCCTGTAAAGCATAAATAGAAGTCTGTATTTTTCCCCTCTCAGCAGCTTTACTGATACTTCAGAATGGCATGTCCTAGTGTCCCGTTTACCCCTGATCTTTTCCGGAGCTTGCTTCCTTCCTCTCAGCCACCACTGCTGATGTTCCAGCAAGTGTTGTCCACCTGTGCCCAGCACATTCTCTCACTATTTTGTCTCAACTACTATATCCCCTCTGCTTGAAACAGAGTAGCCCCATTTCTTCGGTATACAGCATCTAAAATGTGTGTCTCTGTTCAGATCTGGACCATTTGAAACTTTATTTGGAATTTCTTTTGGGAGTTAAGAGGCCTGCTTATCCATGAGCAATTCCCACATGCTTAGATGTTGCTATATAATCAACTGAATCCATGTAATTGATTCATTTAGATGCAATAAGAGCTATTTACTGAAATCATTTTCTAATACAAATTTAGAAATCAACATAGTTTTTATATTATTAAATCCAATTTTATCTGTTAAAAATTTCACTATCCTAGGAAAACCTATCGTCTCCTATATTTCAGCTCACATATTTGTGAATCAACTCTGGATGACTAGGGTAACCCATGCCAGTAAAAATCTAGACCCCTTTAAGAAAGTAAGTTTGAATTCTACTCATTGCTTTTAAATTGAGCAGATTCCTTTTGATTAAATATGTTAGAATCAGAATTTAAATCAATCTAGTTGTCTAACAAAAAAGCTGCACAATTTGTTAATTGTTATTCTATCATAATTTGTCATTAATTCAAGTCTGCCTAGTCTAGAGTGATTTTTTTTATTGATAGCTTTTGAAAGTTCTGCTAGTTAGCAAGCACATCAACTATAGCATTAGATATTAAATAGGTTTGAACTGTAATGTTAGACCATTGTTCAGTAGTTCTGAACAATGTGTGGATATGTTCTTTCTTTCTCAATTAAAATCTCTATTGAAGGCTTTTGCTTCTCTTTTTTTCCAAAATTAGTCTTTTGGCTAGGAAAAGGAAAGCTTAAAAAAATTAGTTAAACATGATTAACATAACCTATAATTTTTAGCATTTTCAAAATAAATCTAAACATTCTGAATTTGTTCTCAAGGTGATATTGATTTATACAATTATGCATAATTTTAAGAAATGGCAAATATCTGTATTCTCTTCCATCTCTAAATATGTAGAATCCATGCTTTTTACTTATTTATATATATCTATCATGTTTGTGTTACCATATTAGAAAAATCTGATTACAGATAAAAAAGATTTTTACATATTTGATTCACACATTTATTATGCAAGAACATATATAGGGAGAATCTGGATATTTAATGGTACTCGTACTATTTATTAAAAAATGGTAAGAATGCTTTTTCGTGACCAATTATTGTAGAGAGCATCATCATTTGAATAAATGCACACCACAAAAAGAGTCTTGACTATTTGAGGAACAAATTTTAATAAGAACTCGGCCAGTTTCTGAGACAGGACTTCGATTGAGTTTAATTCTCAAAGATACAATTCAAGAACTAAAGATTTTTTTGTACAGGATAACTATAAATGAAGTTATGAATTGAAACAGACAAATCTCAAAAGCAGGAAAAGAAGGTAAGCAGACACATCAAACTACCTTAGAAGTGCAGGCATTTGAATATATTAATTTTTCAGCTGAGAAGATTATAATATATTTAAAAATCATTGTAATAAGTGTTTGGTAACTTAAATTCCATGAAGTTTCTAAATCTGGCTATAATATATAGAACAATGGAGCAACATTTAGTTTTTAATAACTTTATAATACTGAAACAATGGTCAACAAACTGAGCTGTTGCTTATTAGCATCTGTAATTGCACAACAGGTAACCTCCAACTTGCAACCATTCATTTGGCAACCATTTAAAGTTATGATGATGCTGAAAAAGTGGCTTACAACAGTGGTTCTCAACCTGTGGGTCGCGTCCCCATTTGGGGTCGAATGACCATTTCACAGGGGTCGCCAAACAACGCAGTCCACCATTTTTCTCCTTTTCCTTAGCTGTGCTACTCCCTTTTATTCTATTGGCTTTTGAAAGCCAATAGAATAGACTCTCTTGAATAGAGTCTAATTCTATTGGCTTTCAAAAGCCAATAGGAATTGTCCAGGCTGTCTCTGCCCTGCTGAGCCCACCAAAAGTCCCATTCTGCAAACGGTGCTGCAAGTTGTCTGCAGCGAAGGCAAGCTGTCTGGGAGCTTCCACCCCTCCCTGCTGAGCAACTACTAAAAATGTAAGTAAAAGAGGGCCAGGGGTGGGAGGTATGCAAGGAGATATGCAAATAACAAACCAAGAAAGACCTGGATAATTCTGCTGTTTTGGATTTACAAAAACACTTGTTAAAGCTTTGAAGAATTTTGTGAGAAAAGACAAAGAATCGAAAAGAATTCTAGGTAGTTACTTGAAAGTACTAAAAACAAGGTTGCTATAAATAAAAGGAATATAAAATTGAACTTCCCCCAATATTCAGCCAGACTGTTAAAATTAGTGGTTTTTCAGGCAATTGTTATATCTCAAAAGAGATAGATGGGCAGGCATTGGATGAATAAAATCAAGATCCATGGGGGGGGGAGCCAGTGAGAATGGGCCTGCAGTTTGATTAGTCTTTTCTTGAGAAGGTGATCATTTGGGAGGTTATGAAAGGATTGTATTAGATCTACTTGGCTCTTCCTTCATTTGTCTGAATGAGTTTTGCATTGGAAAACCTTTGTTGTTGTTTTGGGGGGCTGCTAAGCACTCAGAGAATAAACTTGCAGCACTTCAACAGGAGGGCAACTGGAGAATAGTGAAACATTGAAGGATTCAGTTGCAGCAATCACTGACCAAAGCATTAACTGCCTTGAGTTTGTGTGCAATGGTTTGTTGTTCCAGTTTTTCCTCATTCTCCATAGGGTTGTTTGATGTCTATATCTTCCCTTTAATTAAATTGGGATTGTTGTATCTCCTGTTTTTATCTGAGTCTGACCTTGGAATTGGTTGCTGAGATTATGAACTCAAGAGATTTATGCAATCCTCCCTTGCAGGCCTGGCTATCCTCCCAGAATTTAGCATTGCTATTGTGAAACACACCTAAAAGCGTAATTTGAAAACTCTTAGAAAATGTTTTTTTAAATTGAAAAATATTGAAAGTAGTACATAATGCCTAAAAGTCAATATTCTTTCAAATCCGTGCCATTTGGGAAGCCGGGAATTTATGTTAACTAGTACTGCTTGCCCATTGTGCCACCTGTCCCCAAAACTGTTGCAGAAAAGTGATCCAAAACGTGATCCTTATTGAGTGCCTTAGTCTATCAGAGTTCTCACATAACTTTTTTCCCCTGCTCTAAACATAGAACTTTATTGTTTTATGGTATTTGGTAAAAGACAACAAGGAACACTAAAACACACACACACACACACACACACACACACACACACAACCTGCCTTGATAAGTCAGGTTCCAAGACTGCCATAGCGCCTGATACAGAAGAAAGAAGAATTAAATCTTGATATCTCAACAATAATTAAGACACCAGTGACAGAGATCTTAAATATAACACAGACACGAATATGCCGATAATAATTTAAGCCAAAATTAAACATTCTAGCTTTGTTTAGCTAGATAGCATTTAGCTATCTGAATGAACCCAGCCCAATCCTGCGAAGACTTGCCTAACCTGGGGACACAGACTTTATGCTGCCGTGATCTTCTTCAGTACTTGGAGAAAAATTGACTGAGAAGGTGGTTTCGGTTTCCGCGCCCATGGTAGCCGTGGAGTTTACCGACAGCCGGGCTCGACTGCCCCAACGGAGCTCCTGTTGTTCGAGTTGCGCAGGGTGCTGCCCCTTTCCCGCCCCACGGCCCCATGCCGTCTTTCTTGACCGGGCAGTTGGCAGTTTGGTAGCTGAGCCTGGACTGTCCTAACGCTGCCATTATTATTTGTAATAGGGAGGGGCATCGCATATCGTTTATTTTCGCAATGGGCTCGAGGCGATTTTCTGGCGGTGCCAATTGTAACAGGGCGACGCTCTCTCATTTCTTCTCCAAGTAGTTTATGGGCAGGGACGCTTAGGAAGCCCCTCCTGCCTCTCCTCGAGACCCCGTGCAGAGACATGGACCAAGGCAAGCCTCCTTCCCCACCGGTTAACCTCAACGAGTTGCCGGAGGACTCGCCCCACGTGAGGGCCGCTATTGTAGCGCTGAGGTGCAAAGCTGTGGAGGAGAACCTACGGGTTTGCCAGTCTGACCTTTCTGACGCCTGTCTGATCCGCTTTTTGCGGTGTCGAGACTTCGACAGCAACCTGGCTTGGAAGGTAAAGGGATCTCGGTACCCAACAGACCAACGGGAACGCGAGCACCTGCCCGCCCTCCCCGCTTCCTCCCCTCCTAACTCAAGACTGACGCGCGGGTTTCTTCAGGTAACTTTTCTAAACTCGCTGTCTGGCAGGGGCTCTTCCTTCTGGCCGCCCTCGCACAGACCCTTCCTTGCTAAAGAGACACGCTTATAAGGACCCCTGTTTATCCTGGCCAACCTTCGGCCGAGTGCCTCCACCGACTTCTCGAGGGACGCATTGCCTAAACCGGAGAGGCAAACTGGAGCATTGCTCTGTCTCTTTCCTGAGACTTACACGAATTGGAATGTGCTGATTCTGTAATTGTTGAATTGTTCAGTGAAAGAGCTCAGCAGGTGCCTGGTTGAAGCTAAACAAGGTCTGAACTGATTATTACTTCAATGGGAGACTGCCAGGGAAACGCAGGGTTAGAGAAGAGATTAGGAGAGCTGAAGCCCTTCAGAAAAAGACACTGTTGCAAGAGGACAACAATGGCAAAACACACCTGACCTCACCACGAGTTAAGTGCTGCCTGGTTTTACTTCATAAAGGCTACCCTTCATCTTTTTCAGATTGCTCTTTCCTCTGGACAGAATATGGAACTGCAAAATCTTGGATGCCCAGAAACCTATTGTTCAACAGTTGCCATTCTTAAAATTAATCTTTGGCCTTTGAGGATAGGGCCAGGTCATATTCCCTGCAGGGAGTCCAGACACATTAACAGAATTTTGAAAGCCTTTCCAAAACCTTCACTACCCCTCCTTTTTAAGGGTAGCATTGGTCAAGGCAATAACATTCTCTTCCAGAGTCTCCTTTTTGTATTTTCTGCTTTTCCAGTACTTAGCAACTATTTAGCTTCTTCACTTCTTTCTCAATGACCAGAGCTAAATTCCTCTACACAAGGTTGTGATGGCTTTTGTATCAGCTGGAAAGGATTCCTACCTTGTGTAGTACTGATGCTTGTTTTTCTGATTCCGACTTAAGCATGAGTCTATCTTTGCTTTTTTAAAGCACCACTCATCCAGTAAGGTTTAATTTGTCTTTGGTGGTGTTAAATACAGCTATAGTAATACCTTCTGTCACTTTTGTGTCTCAAAACAATAAGGAGCACAATAAAAGACAATAAAAATCTGGAAGAAGAATTTAAAACTCTGGAGAAACAATTAGTCAAGACTGAGTAATCTGTCAGATTCCTGAAAGATGCTGAGAAAGAAAACTACAATTATACAAATATTGACAGAGTTCATGTTTTCATGCAATACATGCATGCCACTGTTTTCCCTGTTTGGCTGTTTTTATTTCTGCCTCTATAACCTTTTGTTTTCCTGTGTCATCTTAATTCAAAGTACAATGTTGAGTCTGCACAAACCAGACATTATACCCAGCTAGATTACCATATTTCAAAGAAACAGAAATAAACCTACACACAAACAGGTTCCTATTTTCACAACAGTTGTGAGAAAACAAACACAAAGGAAGGGGGAATAAGGAAAGACAAATATTCTGATTCCCTAAAATTTGTTTTTTGTTGCTACTTTGTTATATGATTATTATTTAGTATTCTGTCATTTGTCCTTTGTTTATGCTTTCCAAACTTTTGCTCTCATCTTTCATAGTCTTACTGCTGTTTGAAAAATAAAGCTTTCTGACAATCAACTTCAAAAACCTATGAGAAAAATGTATTGGAAATCTGAAACTTCCTCAGAATGTTGGGAATTTTAAAATGTGTATGAAGTGGACAAGGACATTGGAGGAATTTATGATTTTTTTTTAATTACAGAGGTTTCTAGTATACAGTTCTGGCTCTATTTGAGAAGGATTCCTTGTCATATATATGATAGGAGAGGCTGTTCCAAATATTTTTATTTACTCCTTGCCCAAGCACTATTAAACTTTGTTATCTGGGTTTATTGTCACCAGGTGACCATGCATGTAAATTTAATAAATCATAGTCTTGCAATCTATTAACACAGCTGCCCCCAACCTTTTGGATGCCAGGGCCCAGTTCCATGGAGGGTAGTTTTTCTGTGGACTGGAGGGTCCCGCTCATGGGGATTGCCTGGGTCCCACTCATGAGTGGCTGGGGCTTCGCTAGCTTGTATGGCCCGATTCCTGGCAGTCTGCAGACCAGTGCCAGTTCACAGCCTGGAGGTTGGGGACCTATGCATTAACAGATAATATGGAGCTTTGAGCTATTAATTTATGTTCTAACTCACCTTTTGCCAAATCTTCCTATAACTTGCACTCAGTTCAGATCAAACTGCAACTAATATTGTACACAGAGCAACATTTATTTATACTGACATTTCAATCCATGCAAAGCACATATTTGATTCCAGCCTAACTCAGATTGTTCACTAAGAAATTTATGTGCATTGGCATTTTTACTACTATGTCTGGGACAGACAATTTGTTTTTACTATTACATCCAATAGTTTTCCCTGGGCTATTTGTAAAAATGCAGAGACAGAAAATGGATTTCAGTCTACGAAAGTGATATGCAGCTGTACATATTGGTTGTCAGTTTTAGCAACAATAGATAGCTTGTTTTTATTAAAATTCTCACCTCCTTGTAGTGCTTCATTCAAATGTTCTTTCTGATCTTCCCACATAGCTGCCATAATATACAATATTCCATGTTGATACTGTAGTTGGATAGAATAAGCCTGTGAAATGCTTTAAGCTTGATTATGTAATTATATTATCATCACCTTCTCATGTCAATCAGCAATAATATACATTTACCAACTTAGTACCAAATGTTTGCCCATAAATGCTCCAAAGCATTGTTTTATCTTAGAAATCCAAAATATGCATGGCATTAAGATAAAATATCTATTTCCAAAATGAAGACTAGATACCAGTGTTATTAAAAATTGCCTGATTTTATCATATGTAACCCATAATGTAAGAAATAACAAATAGCAGAAAACCTCCAGAAGTGAAGGGAGGGCACTATATCCCCTTTCCCTTACAGACGGAAGCAGCGAATTAACATAAAAGGTTGAAAGAGATATACTAAAATTTGATTTAAAATATTTCAGACTGGCCAAATCTAGGAACTAAAAAACTGTCAAGATTATACCCTAAAAAATTTCTGATGGAATTATAAAAATATATAACAAAAATAACTTTTTTATGGAAAGAAAAATTGAAAAAAGAAATAACTGCTGACAGCTAGTGGAGAATCAGAGAATAGAACACTAACAATAAGGACTCAGAAATTGGCAGAATGCCAGAAACAAAAGAAAAGTTGTTCCTTTGAATTGAAAATAACCTTGAAGATAGCTGGGAACAAAGGAAGAGCCAGCTATATGATTACAAAGTGTTTGAAAGAAAAAAAAAAACACCTAGACTGTTGCTTAAACCTAAGAACTATTTATGGGGGGGGGGGACTTTGGTTTTTTAGCTAATCCTTTAGAGCAGTGTTTCCCAACCTTGACAATTTTAAGGCATTTGGACTTCAACTCCCAGAATTCCACAGCCAGCATTGCTGGCTGTGGAATTCTGGGAGTTGAAGTCCACATTCCTTAAAATTGTCAAGGTTGAGAAACACTGCTTTAGAGGAGAATTTGCTGGAAGGATTTAAAGTTGCTTAATATACTGAATCTATAATTTTGACTGACTGATAAATGAACTTTTGAATTAAAACATTGATGAAAGATTATTTGAAGGGGGGAGACAACATGGATATCACATACATATCAAAAAATGACAGGATGCCACATTCAATATTTTCTCTTGAAGGACTTAGCCTTGAAAATCAAGTGCCTCCAGAAGCAATACTTCAAGACAAGATAAATACTTTCCCAGAAGAAATATATGTAATGTTAGGACAAATACAAATGACAATAGATTCAAACCACAATGAAATTCGAAAGAACTTTGAGGATTTAAATAAACATATTTCCAATCTAAATCTACAATTAAAAAATACCCAGGAAATAACAACAAAGGAACAAACAAATCAGAGGGCAGATTACAAACTAGAAGAGTAGATGAAATAACAAAGGAAAATAATTACAATTTGACACAAACAAGAAAAAATCTACAAGGTTCTGATTTGTTCATTTATCAGTCAGTCAAGTTTGTTGTTGTTAATTGCGAAGTCGTGTCCGACCCATCGCGACCCCATGGACAACGTTCCTCCAGGTCTTCCTGTCCTCTACCATCTTCTGGAGTTCATTTAAGTTCACACCTACTGCTTCAGTGACTCCATCCAGCCATCTCATTCTTTGTCGTCCCTTTCTTCTATTGCCCTCAATCTTTCCCAGCATTAGGCCCTTCTCCAGTGAGTCCTTCCTTCTCATTAGGTGGCCAAAGTACTTGAGTTTCAACTTCAGGATCTGGCCTTATAAAAAGCAGTCGGGGTTGATCTCCTCTAGGACTGACCGGTTTGAACGCCTTGCAGTCCAAGGGACTCGCAGGAGTCTTCTCCAGCACCATAGTTCAAAGGCCTCAATTCTTTTGCGCTCAGCCTTTCTTATGGTCCAACTTTCACAGCCATACATTGCAACTGGGAAAACGATGGCCTGGACTATGCGCACTTTTGTTGGCAGGGTGATGTCTCTGCTTTTTAGTGTGCTGTCTAGATTTGCCATAGCTTTCCTCACCAGGAGCAACAAGAAAAATGGAATTATTAGGAGAACTATTAAAGTTTGGGGGACAGAAAGAATTTATCTTATTTACTTTATCTTTTGTATTCCCAACAACATTTGTAAAAATACAGGAACTGTTGGGTAAGCAGATTACATCAACTTGGAAATTGGGACAAGAAGATCAGAGACAAATACAAGAGATTTGACTCGCCCTATCAGATGGACTATTACATGAATAAACATTTGTTTGAATATGACTAAAAGAACAGAGAATTTTGAACATAAAGGGGCCTTATAACAAGAAGAATAATGAGATTTAAGTAATATAGTATGTTTTATAATATATTAAATGTTAAAATAGTAGGTTGATGTAACGTTTATTAATATATAAGTAAAATATAAACTGATTTTAAAAGATGTTATATCTAGATACTATAAGACACATAAAAAGTGTAGTATTTTTATAATGCAAGACATAAAATATTGGGATGATGTTCCTAAATGGGAAAATTTAGATAGTGAGATGACTAATATGAAGAAACACTGGTTAGGCCACTCCAGGAGCTTAATGTGCTTCTTCTTGAGCCATTCCTTTGTTGCCTTGGCTGTGTGTTTTGGGTCATTGCCATGCTGGAATACTCATCCATGACCCATTTTCAATACCCTGGCTGAGGGAAGAAGGTTCTCACCCAAGATTTGATGGTATATGGTCCCGTCTAGCATCTCTTTGATGTGGTGAAGTTATCCTGTTCCCTTAGCAGAAAAATACCCCCAAAGCATAATATTTCCACCTCCATGTTTGATGGTGGGGATAGTGTTCTTGGGGTCATAGGCAGCATTCCTCCTCCTCCAAACATAGCGAGTTGAGTTGATGCCAAAGAGCTTGATTTTGGTTTCACCTGACCACAACACTTTTATCCAGTTTTCCTCTTAATCATTCAGATGTTCATTGGAAAACTTCAGATGGGCCTATACATGTGCTTTCTTGAGCAGGGCACCTTGTGAGTGCTGCAGGATTTCAGTCCTTCATGGGTAGTGTGTTACCAATTGTTTTCTTGGTAACTATGGTCCCAGCTGCTTTGAGACCATTGATAAGACCCTCCCATGTAGTTCTGAGCTGATTCCTCACTGTTCTCATGATCATTGAAACTCCATGAGGTGAGATCCTGCATGGAGCCCCAGACCAAGGGAGATTGACAGTTATTTTGTGTTTCTTCTATTTGCGACTAATTGCACCAGCTGTTGTCACCTTCTCACCAAGCTTGGCGATACTCTTGTAGCCCATTCCAGCCTTGTGTACAATCTTGTCCCTGACATTCTTGGACAGCTTTTTGGTCTTGGCCATGGTGAAGAGTTTGGAATCTGATTGACTGATTGCTTCTGTGGACAGGTGTCTTTTATATAGGTAACAAGCTGAGATTAGAAGCGCTCCCTTTAAGAGAAATGCATTTTGAAATGCATTTTTCTGATTATTTTTTTTTTGTTATTCTGTCTTTCACTGTTAAAGTAAATCTACCATTATAATTATAGATTGATCATTTCTTTGTCAGTGGGCAAACATACAAAATCAGCAAGGGATCAAATAATCCCCCCCCCCACACACACACACTGTATTACACAAAGAACCAGTTCTCTGGGGTAGGCTGTAATGCTGGGGAAGGTGGAAGGAAAGAAGATGAGTGTGATAAGCAGTTTTCCTCTTCCCCTTTTCTCATTTCCATTCAGCTTTGCCTTTCTCTTCCCAGTGCAACTACGTGGTCCTCTTTCTAGTTTTGTTTTTCTTTTTTTTCTGTTGGAAAGATAGCAGAATGCATGTGTGAGGCGTGTGTGTGTGTGTGTGTGTGTGTGTGTGTATTGCTTCTGTGCAGGAGGGCAGTTTATGTTTGTGAAACAGACAATGACTGGAATATGCAAATGGAGATCAATTTTGAAACATAAAATAAATTTATGATAGGACTTGGATAAGAAGCAAAACATCTTCAAAGAAAAACAAGAAAGTCCAGTTGCCTTATGAAAAAGCATCTTTGGGATTTGTGATGGGATAGAATTGTTAAAATTAATTTCAGTTAGGTTGATAACCTAGAGAAGCTAAGCCTTTCCCATTTTTATGTCTTTTGTTTATAATTATTTTGTTTTTCTTTGAGGGAGACTATCTTAAATTTAGGATAATTTGTCATTTGAGTAAACATGTATAGATTATAAAATTCACCTTCATTGCAGTTGTACATAGATTTTCTGAGAGTTCTGTTTTGTATTGAATTCCCTATTGAATTGAAAGGCATAAACTTATGGAAATTTTATAAGTCTAAGCTTGTAACATCCAGACTTTTAGTAGGCTATATCGTGCTATTATTATACATGAACTTACATAGGTATGAAATTATGCTATTATGTTATCTCATTTCCATCTCTGTTATTTCTGTTCTTAGGTCTTGAAAAACTATCACAGATGGAGAAGGGAATGCCCAGAAATAACTACAAATCTACATCCACCGTCTTATCTTAGCCTGTTGCAAACAGGCCTCTTTGGAATTTCGAAAAGGAGGGATCCAAGTGGTTCTAGAGTGATCTTTTATAGAATTGGCAAGTAACATTTATGTTGATAATCCTATCTAGTTTCTAAAACCAAAGTGAAGGATAGTGAAGGGGGAGGATGCACAATACAGGGATAGTGGCTAAATTGCCCTAGGACAGCAGTTCTCAACCTGTGGGTCACGACTCTTTTGGGGGTCGAATGACGCTTTCACAGGGGTCGCCTAAGTCCATTGGAAAACACATATTTCCGATGGTCTTAGGAACCGAGACACCGCTCTTCCATCTGGCTGCCACCGCCCTCCTCCTCCTCCTCCTCTGGCTCCTCCGACTCCAGGGCGCCCTTCTCCAACAGTGCCTGCTCCTGCCGCCGCAGCGCATTCTGTGGCAGCCATGCCGACTCCCAGCTGCTGGCCGGGAGCTGGGCAGACTTCCAGCTGATTCCCAGGAGTCGGGCTGGCAAGCGGAGGCTGGGCCGACTCCCAGCTGATGTGCACACACCGGGTCGACTCTCAGCTGGCTGTCGGGAACCAGGTGGTGTGTAGCAACCCCGCCAGTTTCCCACCAACGTCCGGACACCGACCCGACTCCCAGCTGACTGTCGGGAATCGGGCGGTGTTCATGGGGGCCATGCGGATGTTGGCCAGCTGCTGGCTGCGTCCTCCCCATCTCCTGGCTCATGGCAAGTCCAGGTGCTTGACATGTGCCCTCAATGCCGCCCCGCGCCGGCTCAGCTGCGTGGGTGGCCAGTCTGAGCCGGGTCTGGGCCACTGCTGGTGCTGCCGCTGGGATGCTCCGCTGCTGCTGCTGCTGCTTGCTGAGCTGAGCTGCGGCACTGAGCCGGTCCCCACGCCTCCTGGTTGCCCGGCCATGCTCTACCCCCAGCCGCCCTCCACACCGGAGCTTCCCCCACACCCCCCGGCCTGCATCCCTCACCGTCGGTGGCTGCCCCGGCCCTCTGGCACCCGGTGCGACCCTGGGGCTGGCAGGCAGGAGCAACTCCTCACCGGGCTCCAGGCCTCGGAAACAGCCAGGCGGTGGGGAAGAGGGCGATGCCTGCATGTGCGTCGGAGGCCAGCCAGACAGGCCGGAAGGGGAGAAGCGGCGCTCCAGGAGCTGGCGCTCCAGCCGCATCCCTCTTGCGTGTGACAAGTTGGGGAAGGGTCGTGGCGGTGAAGAGCTGCACGGCATGGAAAGGGGCTCCCAAGATCCCGCCGCTGCGATGGCGCTCAGGAGGCTGGAGGGGCAGGCAGGTCCCGGGGGGGCAGCTGGGAGAGGGCAAGAAGTGCCAGGATGAGGATGGGGAGCTCCAGACTACCATCCCCAGAAGCCCTAAAAAGCACTGTGAAAGAGTGGGGAATGCTGGGAGTTGCATCTGGGAAAACATGACTCTCCAAAGATCAATCCATCCTTCCTTCCTTCCTTCCTTCCTTCCTTCCTTCCTTCCTTCCTTCCATCCATCCATCTCCTTCCCTTCCCCTTCAATCTCCTTCCTTCCTTCCTTCCTTCCTTCCTTCCTTCCTTCCTTCCTTCCTTCCTTCCTTCCTTCCTTCCTTCCTTCCTTCCCCTTCAATCTCCTTCCTTCTCCATCTCCTTCCTTTCCCCTTCAATCTTCCTTCCTTCTTTCCTTCCATCTCCATCCTTTCCCCTTCAATCTCTCTCTCTCTTTCCTTCCTTCCCTCCTTCCTTCCTTCCTTCCTTCCTTCCTTCCTTCCTTCCTTCCTTCCTTCCTTCCTTCCTTCCTTCCCCCTTCAATCTCCTTCCATCTCCATCTCCATCCCTTCCCCTTCAAAATCTCTCTCTCCTTCCGTCTGTCCTTCCTTCCTTCCTTCCTTCCTTCCTTCCTTCCTTCCTTCCTTCCTTCCTTCTTCCTTCCTTCCCCCTTCAATCTCTTTCCTTCTCCATCTCCTTCCTTTCCCCTTCAATCTTCCTTCCTTCCTTCCCCTTCCCTCCCTCGCAACATTTTTGAGCATTGCTATATTGTTTTTGTGATTAATCACTATGCTTTAATTATGTTCAATTCATAACAATGAAAATACACCCTGCATATCAGATATTTACATTACGATTCAAAACAGTAGCAAAATTACAGTTATGAAGTAGCAACGAAAATAATTTTATGGTTGGGGGTCACCACAACATGAGGAACTGTATTAAACGGTCACGGCATTAGGAAGGTTGAGAATCACTGCCCTAGGACCTTAGGATCAAGACCAGCAGCCACTGCCTCCTTCATTGCACCTTCCATTGTTTGCCTTTGCTCTGTGAAATTGCTGGTTTTGGGATTGAGGGGAAGAGAGGATAGTAGTTCAGGTTTCTCATGGCTAGTTAACCAGGACAGAAGAATGCCTGCAAAAAGAAGCCAAAATTGACTAGATGGAGAAGTGAAGCATGAGCAGCAGCACTGGGCCATCTTTGATAACTTGCTCTCTTTTGTATGTCTCTGTCTCTGTCTCTGTCTCTGTCTCTGTCTCTCTCTCTCTCTCTCTCTCTCTCTCTCTCTCTCTCTCTCTCTCTCTCTCTCTGTGTGTGTAAACTTGAGGATTTTTTCTCCTCTCTCCTTTGCTGCCTTTTTCTTAGGGAACAATTGACCTCCTTTCTTTTCTGTTTTAGCCTTTTTTTTTAACTTCACAAACTTATCTTATTGTTATGGATCTATTTATAATTGTTTCTCTGTAATCATCAGTAAAGCTTTTTAAAGTTTAAATATTCATCTATTTTCTCCAGGGTAATTTCTTTTCCATTATATTAATTGGAATTATATTGAAATATTTTTTTGCAGAGTCACATTCTCTGTTATTATAGTATCACCCTCTTGTAATTTCAGTATCTTTTTTTGTTTTCATCATTTCCCTGGTTTACTTGAAAAGTATTTTTTGTTTTGCATAATTTATTTTTATTTCCCTTCTTCTTAATTCTAACATAGATAATTCTTGCTACAGAAGCTTAATTGGTTGAGAAATAATTATCTTGTCTGGAAACTTCTTTAGTTGGTTGAGAAATAATTATCTTCTCTGGAAACTTCTTTAATTTCTCTTCTTTTCTTTTTATCTCACCCAAAATAACTTGTGTTTTCTGTTGCCTTTGCCTTTTGAGTTCATTATTATGGGATATAAAGTAACCTTTCATGAAAATTTTGCTTGCATATCAAATGAATCTTACATATGTACCTTTATTAAGATTATTTTCAAACAACTTGGAAAGGGCAAATGCTGCACTGGGGTCAGCAGTAATATTTGGGCAACATTCAGTCAGATAATTTTATAACATAATTACAGAGGGTTTTCAGGGCCACAAATATGGTATTTGTGAGCTGTTGATTATTAAGGTATGAGAAAAAATGAGATAAACATAGCCAAAATGCAATAATCAGATAAAAACTAGGGAGTGAAGAAAGAGAATCTGTTTGAACAATCAATTTGGAAGACTTGGAGGCAAAATGTAGATGATAAAACAAAGAGATGCTTTTAATGATGTTGAATTAAATATTTAGATGCACATCTGTTCAGACTTCACTCTCTCTTACTGATATGTTATATATTCTAAGAAATTTAGATATAATCCAATTGGAGTTAATCAGTTTTCAATTCTCTTGAAAATACGAAAAAGTATAAGCAGTTAAGAGAGCATTTATATGTTTGATAGCTGTCAGAAGAAGATTAGATGCATCATTGTGCCCTTTTACTGTGGGAGTAGAATTTCACAGGTAAAGAAAGCCTGTTGGGATTGTTTTATCCAACGGTAGCTTTTAACCTGTGTTATCCAAGCAATGGGAAAATAAGAAAAACAAAGATCTGTTAGACTACTTTTTAAGAAAATCCGCTCTATCTCCAATCAAGAACTGATAGATTTGGACTTAATGGAGAATAATCCAGCACTTCATTTCCCTGTCTCATGCATTCATCCTTAGTCTTTGTAATCAATGATATGGATATCTCTAGTAATGCTTATCACTCTCTTATCTATATTTGTTGTAATTGTTTTCTTAGCAAGAATAATTACGATAGACTTTGTGAAGTGGCCTGTAAGGTAAGGCTGTATTTAAATTGTGACTCCTAATTTGGCTTAATTGTAATACAGTTTCACAGTATAGATACTAAGGTGTTTCTTCTTGGTGGTTATATATTGGCTTTCATAATCTTGACTGTGCATTTTTATTACTAGGAAAGTTATATCAATTGATAAAAATAATTTATATCTTGATTGCTATTAAGGCTACCTAGTGCTAATGTAATGTTGGAACTTTATAATGAACTTCTTTCTGAAGCTAAGATACCAGATTTGTGGTCCGAAGCTCTTATTACTCTCATACCAAAGGAAGAAACGGAACACAGAAAATAAAGAACTACAGGCCGATTTCCTTACTGAATGTGAACTACAAAATATTTGCATCAATAATGGTGGAAAGACTTAAAAAGTTTTTAAATGAAATTATATAATCGGATCAAAATGGCTTCTCACCCAAAAGACAGATTAGAGACAATATGCAAATTATATTGAACACACTAGAATATTATGAAACACACCCTGAGAAACAGATGGAATTGGTGTTCCTGGACGCACAGAAGGCATTCGATAATGTGAACTGGCAATTCATGATAAGCTAATTACAGACTATGGATTGTGGGGAGAAATTTATAAATGTAATCAGAACAATTTATAATAAACAATCAGCCAAAGTAATGATAAATGGAGATATGACTGAGAAGATCAATATTATGAAGGGAACAAGACAGGGCTGTCCCCTATCTCCACTGTTGTTTGTTCTGACATTAGAGGTATTAAATAAACGTATAAGACAGAATAATGACACTTTGTGCAGAAAAATTGGCTTATTGTTAAATAATAAATATGCTTCTGTCTCTGTGTCTCTGTCCTTCTGTATGTATGTGTATGTATGTATTGCATTTAGCACGATGGGATCCTAAGATATTTACAGCAGATGATCTCTTTCGTGTAAGTATTATGCTATCTGAGCTTATTGTAAGAGAACTAGACACCCAACGGAATGGAACCAAGTCAATCTTCGATCTCCAAGGATGGAAATTTGCTCATGCATTTCAGATTACTCCAGCAATGATCAAAAAAATAGCATTTATACTCACAGTAAGCATTTTTCTTATTTATTCCACTGTGGACTATTGTGGTAGTTTCCAAGAACTAAAATCAGGTAGCTGAATTGAAGCAGATAAATTGCACCTTTTCAGTATAGTTTTTGCTACAATTCAAAATGACTGAAACCCTCTTCAAACTGAATAAAGAATATGTCAGCCAGGTTGCCCCAGTCTTGGTTTTTGTCCATCTTCTATATAGTCAGCTACAGTAAGTGTGAAGAAGAACAGTGCTCAGTTTTGCTTGGACACAAACACTGCTGACTTCCCTCTCTCCAGGTTTGTCCTATTATTATAGGTTATGATAGAGCTCGGTCATCTTGTATTGTCTGACACTGTGACTTGATTATAAGGCAAAGATGTGTACTCTCTTGTGCTTGTAGTCAATAACTTCATATTGGCTCCATAGTTCTCAGTGCACTTCAGGTAACAATTGCTTGAATTAATTTAACCATATCTTTTGGTAGTCCATAATCAAGATCTTAATAATGTGGGAGATATGTCTTAAATAGATACAATTCTGAAGTCAATTCTATCACCTTACAGTTGAGTATTCAGTAATTGTTCTATAAATACAGTCCACAAATGCTTCAAAACACAGGTATGGTTGTCTGTATAAAACAACTGTGTTTAAAACCTTTTCAAAGTATTTGTTTTCTGTATTGAATATATAGACATGTGCCATATTTTCATGTATGTTGCTTATATAAGTATAAATGTTAGAATATTGGCACTCTTATATTTAGAGCCAGTTTGGTGTAGTGATTAAATTCTTCCTTAAGCTTAAAGCCAACTGAGTGACCTTGGGCCAGTCACATCCTCTCAGCCCTAAGCAGACAGTGGCAAACCACTTCTAAATAAACCTTGCTAAAAAATCTTTTCCAGGTAGTTCCAGGAATCAACACTGACTTGGAGGCACAAAAACAAGCAAATTCACTTTGTTTTCTTATTTTTTCCCTCTTGGCAGGATGGTTTCCCACTAAAAGTTCGTGAAATCCACTTGATTAGAGAGCCTGTAATTTTTTACCGTGTTTTTAATCTAATTAAGCATTTCCTCCCTGAAAAAATCAAAGCAAGGGTAAGTGAGCACAAATTTTTATTTGCTATTGAAATGATCCATTACTATCTCAGCACTCATCATATTTTCTTTTGAAATAAATACATCCAGTCCATTCTAATTTAACAACTCTTTTATTATTTTAATTAACAGGGAGCCACATATACACCCGCCAGTGTATCAATTCAAAGCAAGTTCATAGATAAAGGTGTATGCATTTTGCTGAGTAGTTTCGAGTGAAATCATTATTTCCTGATGATAGGAATGTAAAAGATTCTTATCCCAAATATTGCTTTTTAAAAAAAATAATAATATCCAAGTAACCTAGTTCATATTTATTTCTTCCCAGGAAAAACAGTCCAACTCACTTTTGAAAATGTATAAAATAGCCCAGTCTCTGGGTCAGTGTTTCTCCACTTCAACAACTTGTCTAGCTAAGGATTTCTGAGCACCAAATTCAAAGTTGTTGAATTTGATAAACACTGCTATTGGCTATTTCCTTCTTTTCATAATAAAACTATACTACATGCTTGCAACATTGTGGATTTTATTTCTGAAAGCCAGATTTTCCTTTGCATTACTTCCTGGAACAACCATGTAATCATTTAATACCACATAATAACATGAACATTCTTGAAGATGTGATTTCCATCTCTTATAAGTTCAAAATTTTATCCTTAGGTGATCCAAAACATTTATTTCTGATATAAATCTGAGAGAATGGAGATCTTAGCCTACAAAGTAAAATGTATGACATTTATAACTGTATATTTCTTTCTGATAGTGTTAACTCTGACCTAAAGCTATATTGGCTGGCTGTGGGGGAGAGGATGGGAGAGGTATTTTCAGATGGAAGGCTGAAACAGGTTGCTTTTCTGTCTTGTCCACTTATCTCAACTCCATATAACTTTATATAAATTTTCAGTATAGATTTCTGTTCACTGAATTGTAATCTTGAAAAGGTCTTTTTAGGCTTTCAGATCCAATCTCCTGGGTTAGTGCAGGAATCCATTTTCATGGTATCTTATTTCTAAATTTCATGTGATTATTTGAATTTTTTGCTTTGCAAAAAAAAGAAAACTAGATTTTTATTTAGTTATTTCTAATTTCAGCTGATAAATTGAATAAGACACTTGCTTTAACACTATTTTAAGTAAACAGTCTTATTGGAAACAGATCTGTAGCTTAGCACAGTACTGTATATGAATCCAGATATTATCTCATTGCAGATCCATCTGCATGGGAATAACTTTGCACATGGGCTCAAGAAACATATTCCAGCCAGCCTTCTCCCTGAAGAATATAATGGTGAAGCGGGTCCTTTTGAAGAATTTTCTAAAGAATTGATTGACATTTTAATGGAATCTACTGACTATCTTCAAAGTATTTCTCTTCTTGCATAGACCACTGACATGGAGTAAACTATATCTGGAAGGCTCAGAATATTTGATTATTAATGAGGTACTGATGAAGCTAATGCTTTAAGTTGCAGGAACCCCCATCCCCAAAAGAAACAATCAACTCCATTAGAAAAAAATTACAGATGCTTTTTAATGCTTTCAATCATCTGATGATTTTAGATAATGCAAAATTATTTTTGGATCAATGTTAAGTGTTGTGATTTGAGGATAAGATTATTAGAAAATAAAATGAGAAATGTACATTTTGTACATTTTATGTGAAAAGGAATTGTTTGTTCCCTAGAAAATGTTACACAATTTCGAACTGTACCACCTGCTGAAATTCACCCTGCCAAAATGTAGATATAGCTTCTGCTGGATCAGAACAAATATTTTCAAAGTAGCTAGCTAGATGCCATGGAGAAGCTGACAAGCATGGTAAAATACTTGTTGTTTCCTATGTTCATATGTGTTTCTCAGATTTTTCCCTATTTTTATGCCTTCTATGGAATAAGTATTTCTTTTATTCATTTTAGTGAAGTATTAATCTGCTGTTTCTTATGTTCATATCTGGGACTCAGACTTTTCTCTGTTATGCCTTCTGTGGAATAAGTATGTCTTTTATTCATTTTGGACTCCTGAGTGACACTGTATTCAAAATATTAATATGTGTATGTTTCCTCAACATCAAGCCTCTATGTTCAATGAGTTCTTTCTCAGCACTACAAGTGTCTACTTAGAATTAAGTGCTATAGACTGTGTTGACATAAATCAAATTTACCAACCAAATTTACTAACATGTTATATCAAAACAGATACTATTAAGGTATAATGTTATAGTCTGGTTCACATAGGCACGATTTACTTGGTTTATGCTTAGGAACTGTAATCTAAAACACATACAATATGCTTTTAAACATTGTGTAAATGTACCCATAGCTTTTAAAGGGAATTTCTCTCATCTGAGCTTAGATGTTACTTCTTAATGCAAACAAAGGGATAATAAGCAGCTATGTATCAATTGGTATAGCAATTACCCTTTTTTACTGTTTTGTTTTTAAATTTTAGCTTTTGTTCATGTAATTTAACTGTACTTGACATAATTCTCAGGAATATAAGTTTGGGAATTTCAAGAAAAGAAAAAAATCATAAAAATAATATTCATACTAGAAATCCACCAATGCTACTTTAACAAAGGGCATACTATTATAACAATGTGGACCAATATGTATCTGAATTAGATATGGAGGTTGGAAGTAGAAACATTCCTCATTTTTAAAATACTTTTTCAGACACTATAAAGGAGATATAGTGTGGCAAGTCCTTAAAGAGATAGGAGTACCAGACCATCTCATTTGTCTCTTGAGAAACCTATATGTGGGTCAAGAAGCAACAGTGAGAACCGAACATGGAACCACTGATTGGTTCAAAATTGGAAAAGGAGTCCGGCAAGGCTGTATACTGTCGCCCTGCCTATTTAACTTATATGCAGAGCACATCATGAGAAAGGCAGGGCTAGATGAATCAAAGTTGGAATTAAGATTGCCGGGAGAAATATCAACAACCTAAGATATGCAGATGATACCACTCTAATGGCAGAAAGTGAAGAGGAACTAAAGAGCCTCTTGATGCGGGTGAAGAATGAGAGTGCAAAAGTTGGCTTGAAACTCAACATTAAGAAAACCAAAATCATGGCATCCGGCCCTCTCAATTCCTGGCAAATAGATGGGGAAGAAATGGAGGTAGTGACAGATTTTATTTTCTGGGCTCCAAGATCACCTCAGATGGGGACTGCAGCCAAGAAATTAAAAGATGCTTGCTCCTGGGGAGGAAAGCTATGGCAAATCTAGGCAGCATTCTAAAAAGCAGAGACATCACCCTGCCAACAAAAGTGCGTATAGTCCAGGCCATGGTTTTCCCAGTTGCAATGTCTGGCTGGGAAAGTTGGACCATAAGAAAGGCTGAGCGCAAAAGAATTGAGGCCTTTGAACTATGGTGCTGGAGAAGACTCCTGCGAGTCCCTTGGACTGCAAGGCGTTCAAACCGGTCAGTCCTAGAAGAGATCAACCCCGACTGCTCTTTAGAAGGCAAGATCCTGAAGTTGAAACTCAAGTACTTTGGCCACCTAATGAGAAGGAAGGATTCACTGGAGAAGAGCCTAATGCTGGGAAAGATTGAGGGCAATAGAAGAAGGGGACGACAGAGAATGAGATTGCTGGATGGAGTCACTGAAGCAGTAGGTGTGAATTTAAATGGACTCCAGAAGATGGTAGAGGACAGGAAGACCTGGAGGAACGTTGTCCATGGGGTCGCGATGGGTCGGACACAACTTCGCAATTAACAACATACTGTATTTTATATTTGTCTTTTGCAATTCTACTATGCAGTTTGTTTTTTTATAAAAGTTACTCTGGATATGTTTAACTGAAAGATTAAAAACTATTAACATATAACAAAGTATTAATAATATAAAGCCTTTTATAGATCCTTTTAATAAATGTCTTTTATTCAATAAGTTTTGGATTATATTCATGCAATATGCAATATATCTTCTAACTGGATGAGCAAAGAACTTTGAATTCTTCGATATATGCTTCTCACTTAGCATTTGCCCTAAAATGGCTATTGTCATTTGTTCAGCATACAAGTTCCTATGTGTGAAGTACGTTCTTATGTAGTGTGTGTGTCTGTGTAAAATATATTTTTGAAGCTACTCAACATCCTATGTTTGCACGCTATGTATGGAGCAGAACAAGTGCCCATGCCAGTTAGTAGTTGACATGGGAAAGTGTGTCATTCTGACTGACTCAAATCTTACTTATGCCCCCAAATTCTGATTTGCAGTGGTCATGAGGCTTCATTATGCATGCATTCATAATGTAACATTGACTTTTGCTCAGAGAGAATGACTGTTTATATTTCAGCAGTTTTGTCTTGTGACTGTAGGGTTCCGGGGACAATGGCAATTTTCTGGAAGTTGTTTATGGCATTATGAAGGCCACCCAACTGCAGATGTCTCTATGAAGCTTACTGTTTAAAAAGTAAGAAAACCATAAAGCAGGAAAAAAGAACCACAGATATTCAGAAGTTCATACTATATAGTACAATAGGAAACAGGCAGAAACTAATGCTTCAGACACTGTTGTTAATCTTTCTTTTTACCAAAGAAGAACAGATAAGCCACATAAAGCCACAATATATAATTTTATATATGATTCTCCCTTCTTTTTAGAGAGTTGCATATGATCAAACCAGTTTTTATTATTCATTGACAGATTTCTGTGGGACACAACTATGTTTCACATGGGAAGGATGCATCATGCTACTGGCTGTCCTTAGTCTAAAATGTACTTCCCCATCTTCTCTCTTCTTTTCACATGGATAACCAAGATATGATTCAAGATGGCATATAACTAGTATGTGAAATCTGAGCTGCCAAAATCTGGATATAGCAATAGCATTTAGACTTATATACTGCTTCATGATGCTTTATGGCCCTCTCTAAGCGGGTTACAAAGTCAGCATGTTGCCCCCAACAATCTGGGTCCTCATTTTTACCTACCTTGGAAGGATTGAAGTCAACCTTCATATTGTTAGATGGCAGCAAAAAGACTCAGAAAACAAACTAAGAGGTTACTCTGGGGACGGACGTCCAGGCTGCTGCTTTTAACATGCTTTCCTGTAATACATATAACGGCATAATTTAGTTTGTTCCAATAGCTGAAATCTAATCTGTCCAGGTAAAGGCCAATAAAGAGTGCTGTGGGTCAACTTAAGCAAAGTAGATTTCTGTTATTTTTGTGGGGGAAATTTAAAAATAAAAATATATATGCTTTTAGTATTATTATGTAATCATATTTTATATTTTATAATTATCATTGTATAATCAATTACCTGAGTAGATGCTTCAAGTATATGGGGAAAAATACAAGCCTCAGGTGGAGGAAGGGGGGAGAACAGGAGTTACCATGGGGCCCAGTATGAGTCACCATCTAGGAATTGTTTTTAAGTACCTTCTGGTACCTGGTACCCTTACTGGATCTAACAGGTGTAGAAGATGGGAGACATCTCTCCTCTAGAATAGATATAGGATAGTAGGGGAGGGATCTTATTAGTATAATGTATTCTGTTTAGGCGCTTCTGATAGATTGTAACCTCCAAAGCCTAAGCCAATGGGGCCATGGGGGGAGGGAATGGAGCATCGTGATAGGATGTATAATAATATGTGATTTTGGAATTTGGGGTGTGGTTCAGTGCTTGGCTACATTGCATTGCCTTCCTGAATCCACCACGCTTTGCAAAATGTTATTTTTTTTAGACTTTGTTGTGAAGTCTAATAAACTTCTTTTCTATTTGTAACTCAGAGTGGATTTCAATTTGTGACTATTTTTGTGTCTAACAATTTTGGTACCGAAACCCGGGACTCAATGGGATTTCGTTTGGGACTCCCTAACTTGGAGGACGATGTGGAAGGAATGCCCTGTCAAGTTTGACAGTCCAGCTTCGAACTCCAGGAGTAGTGGGTGCTGAACGAACCCTAGAGTCCTACGAACCTAAATAGAAGTTGCAAATAGAAACGAAGGGTGAGGGAACCAGGAATAGAGATTGCCGGCCTCAGGAAAAACCGGGTAACTTCATGCACGGACCTAGGTGAGTAATATCTGGGCTGGCCAGATGAAAACCACCTAGGCGGTTGGGGTAGGACTGGGTAGGATTGTTTGAATCTGAGATCTGTGAGAGGAGTGCATTAGACATCCCAAATACCACAGGGGGTAGCAAGATGGTGTGGGAGCTGACCCTTCAGTTTTTGCCATACCCTCATGAGAGGATTGGTGGATAAAAAGGGAGAAGCAAGAGCTTGGTGAAGCAAAAGGTGGTCTCATTAGGTTGGTAAGGATAAGATAACAGTACGGTAAACTAGTATGGGCAATTCTCGGGAGTGTTCCCAAAAGGAAATGTCTGAAGAAAATTAGGAAGAATCCTAGGTTGAGCATAGATACAGGGAGTCCTTTAGGACTCCTACTAAGTAATTGGGGTAAGTCGCCTTATATTAAGATAATTGACAGATTAAATTTGACTAAAGAAGATGTGGTGAATTTATGTTGCTTTGTTTAGTGGGAGGAATTGGAACCTGGCCCCAACAACAGCCAGAGAAGGAGGAAAATGTATGTTCAGAGGTGTACAGAGAAAGTAAGGCAGAAAGTAATATGATGGTAGCAACAGTATAGCAAGTGATGAAGCAGGAAAAACCTCCTAGAAGAGAGTTTGGGGATAAGCAGAATCCCTTTGAGGCAAGATATAGGAGGGATGAAAGGAACCAGTATGTTAATGGGAATAGAGGAAGGGATTTGGAGGATTTTGAGGTGGATACCAAAATAGGGAGAGAACGTGCTTTGGATGTGGAATGAAGGGCCACTTTAAAAAAAAAAAGATTGCCCTAAACGCGAGAGAGAACAGCAAGTTTACTCATTGTGGGAAGAAGAGGATAGTTTTTACTAGGGGAGGGAAAGGAGCTCATTGGCTTTTGAACAGCTCCTTGAAATTATAATAATAGTTATTGATTTGTCAAGAGAAAGTATAAAATGACATATCTCTATGTGAAAGTGTTTATACAAGCAGTTTGAATGGAAATGTATGTGTGGATATGCTGATCCTCTCTCTCTCTCTCTCTCTCTCTCTCTCTCTCTCTCTCTGTGTGTGTGTGTGTGTGTGTGTGTGTGTGAGAGAGAGAGAGAGAGAGAGAGAGAGAGTTTCTCCCCCATCTAAACTGCAGATTTTATTGTTTTAGCAAGTGTTTGCATGAGAAGAGTTCCATGGAGGATGTGTGAGAGAATTTATGGTAAATGCATGTGAAAGAGAGAAAACTATTTCCCCCCCCCTTTCGTTTTCAGCTGGCTGTGTTGCTTTAAGAGTGAGTGAGAGAGAGAGAGAGAGAGAGAGAGAGAGAGAGAGAGAGAGAGAGAGAGAGAAGGAAGGGCTGCTCGTTTTAACTTTTTTTTCTCTGCTTAGAATTCTGCTTTGAGAATGTGGATGTGAAATTTAATACCCATTCTTATAGTAATGAAGTATGAGAAGAATTTGAATATACCTATACTGTTGTTTTATTTTTATGTTTTATGTTTTTATGTCTGTGTGCAGGACACACCGATAAAAACATAATATCTAAGAGAATTGAAGGAATTGTAATTCAACCCTTGCTTAAAATGAAGGAGTTGAGAAAAATGTTGGGATTATAAATGAGCTATGTTGTTTTGAATAAAGATTTGTATGCAAACAAACTCAAGCAGGGTTTGGTGAGCGCTCTTTTGTTGGCTCTTTACTAAGCAATGTGTTTGTAAATACAGACAAAAGGAATGGTTAGGGTAGGGATAATTGATACTTTTCTATGGTTAATATACGGTTGGTTATATGATATGTAGACAAATACATAAAATGCTCTATAACATCTAATGATGAGGCTATTTCAATGCATTCAGGTTGATTTTAAATTACCTCAAGTAGGAAATTCCACAATATGAAAACTAATGACATGTTTATAAAGAATTAGATACTGGGGCTGTTTTCTGCTTTGTCTTATGTCAGGAAACAAGGCTTGCTGATCCAAATACCCCCTTTGAAATTTCCTGTCCACAAGTTTGAGGTGGGACAGTGGATCCTGATCCAAACGTGGAAGGAGGAAAAACTGCAACCTAAGTGGGAAGGACCATTCCAAGTGTTGCTGACCTCTGAAACCGTAGTCCGGATGAAAGAAAAAGGGTGGACCCACTACACACGAGTGAAGGGACCAGTAGCTGAACCAAAAGAACCTGTGTTCCAAATCCAGAACCTTTAGAGATCATTCTCAAGCGACAGTAACCGAATGTCCAAACCAGATCTATATGATTGGGTGGGATTAGGGTTTGCTATTTTTCTTTGTCTTATAGGAGTTGTGATTGCGTGCCGAACCAGGAACGAATTCACATCCATATTGTGCCCAAAATCCCAACAGCCTCAAGATATTCAAGAACTTAATCTTTTGCCTGATGTGTTGGTACTGTGACTGTAAATGCCATATTGATTTTTGTTGTTGTTTCCATTGTATTGACTGTGTAAGATGTACCGGATGTGGAGAACATTTTGGACCATAATGATATAGTACTCATTGAGAAAAAATTGAAACCTTTTGAGGAATATACTGAGATATTGACCGGAGTGGTAAGATATACTTTAGAAGATACTCCTTCAATTTAACTAGTCCAGGACGAACAATGAGAAGCCTTTAGAAAATATCATAGTTTAGATAAAGAGGAAGAATGACTAAAATGCAAATCCTTAGTGTTGTATATTTGTCCATGGTTATCTATCTCTCCCTTTCTAGAGAACGATATAGGAGAGCAACAAAAACAGAAGGATGTGAAGCCTGCATTACGAATGCCACCAAAGGAAATGCAGGAATTAAAACCTTGGTATATCATACCCAAGCACCTAAGGGATGTATATTTCAATCTATATGTCAATTAAATAACACACAATATTCAGTTTGTAAGGGAGAAGACAAGAAGATACAATGTTATGATCCATCAATGCCAACATATTTCAATTTTAGTATATATGTAGGTCTAGCTAAAACAGGAGCGAGACAGAGACCTGAAGGTGAAGAAAGATTAATATATGTTAATTCCACAAAAATATTAGAAAAAGGGACAGAAAAGGCTTTAATACGGTTTGATGCCTGTACAATATTAAGTTTATTAAGTTTATCTCCTCTCACCACAAAATATGGGGACTCTAGTTGGATCTCAGCATATAAACAAAATCATAAATATATATGTCCCACTAATTTGAACTTTGTAAATGGGAACCCCAATCAATGGTCACCTTGTGGGGGATCTGTTAAATGTTCAGGGTGGAGTTGTATGTGTGATTACACTGGAGGGGGTTATCCAGGATGTAGTGGTATTACCAAATTTAACAGAATATAAGGAACTAATACAATGGAGTTGGAAATCACTAAGAACCATGCTGAAGTAGTAAGTTATGGATTTGGGATAGATATTCCATATAATGTTGAAACAATGAGAGGAAATGAGTAGACACCAGAAAAGATCGTATGTGTCTATGGGCCTGCTACTTGGGCCGAAGATGGATCTTTGGGATATAGATATGTTAAACAGAATAATAAGATTACAGGCTGTATTAGAATTAGTTGGAAGAAAAATAGATACTGCTTTAAATATTTTGACAAAAACTACTGATAAGCTTAGAGTGGCTGTGTATCAAAATAGATTAGCATTAGATTATATATTAGCTAAAGAAGGAGGGGTATGTGGGAAGTTTAATTTAACTAATTGTTGCTTACAAATAGATGAAACAGGTACAATGGTGAAGCAATTAACCACTGAAATGAGACAACTTGTACATGTTCCAGTCCAGACTTGGACTGGTGTTTTAGATCAGTGGTTCTTAACTTGGGCGATATCGCCCCCCAGGGGGCGATTTCATTTTTCAGGGGGGCGAAGGAACGAAAAGGGGATGATATAGGGGCAATGGAGCGAGAAGTTTGGGGGACACTTTTGAGACATTTTCGTACAGTGAATGGCTGCATATTTGTCGTACAGAAACATCAGATCACTCGCTTTTAGTGGATTGAATTGTGTTTTCAAATGTTCCTCCAGCCAGCTTCAATACAGAACGCTCTACATATGTGAATACGCATCACTTATCTTCATGTGCATTGCGCAGCAGCCTCTACCCATACAGTAGCCCGCCATTAGCCAGAATATGGGAGATATGGGAAAAAGACTGGAAATAAATTATTTGCATTGATATGTCCTGATGACAATTTTAAAGAAAACAAAAAAAGGGTTTGCATAAATAGAAAAATTATTTCCTATGTTGTGATTCAGAGGTTATTTTGGGGGAGGGGGGCGATGACAACTTCCTCATCGGCTCAAGGGGGCGATTCGTTCAAACAGGTTAAGAACCACTGTTTTAGATGAAGGGGGCTTTTTAGGGGGAATTTTTAGAAACTGGAAGCAAGCTTTATTCATGCTTATAATAATCATTATGGGATTAATGTTTTTACCTTGTCTCATCTCTCATTAAGAATATTGTCCAAAGTACTGTAGAAGGAATAATACACAGTAATCAGAAGGAATCACTAGGGAGAAAAATGTATAA